TGTATCTCTGCACAAGTGTTGATCCCCGGACCATTAAACGAGATGCTAAAAACCCAAATGCTTAACCTTTACCCACTTGGCCAACTAACGCGCAGAGCCCATGTATCGTGCCACCAATGAGCCAACATCACTTAACCGGGCTCGTCTCGAAAATAATGTTACAAAAATAAGCATAAGCGCCACAAGAGATGAGCGAGGGACTCCGTTGGCTGTGTTTGCCCAACACTCGTCACTTTCGTACGTCAACTTAACGTGTTTTGCGTCATAAAGTTCAAGTTCATTATGGCCACCTAAAGAAGAGGGGGGAGTGCAGGGGGAGACCTGCAACAACCAGTTAACAAATCGCATGATGAGGGAGTCCGGTGGCGCCCACAAGCCACCGAAAAGGAAACAAAGGCAAAACAACAACATCAACAACAACACTTTGGTTAAGTGCTACTTGCGGCGATTACACAAACAAACACGGCCAAACAAAAACACGGCCATAATTTTATGGTTTTTTCGGGGTATTAAATAATTATTATTTAATGGCGGGCAGATGCCAAAGTTAGGAAACAAAAAACGACAGCGAGGCGTGGGAATGATGGCTGAGATGGATGCTGTTTGAATTTGGGTCACCAAACGACCCATTTTAACCTTCAGGTGCTTCATTTCAAATGAAGAGAAATTGTAGAAGGTAAATTACACAGATTTAACATTAGTATGTGGGAGGCATCTAAATTAATCTAAATTAATAACCCTTCGATTTCTACACAATCTTTTATTGCCCGACTTTCGCGAAACCACATTGACATTTAAATTCAGGCGAGACCTTCCTTCGTGATTCATGATCGAAACACATTTAAATGTCAACTTAAAGATGATCATTTAAATGCGATCTTTGGGCCCTGGCAAGTGAAAGTACCGGTTTCAACGGCAAAACGCAGACAATTGAACAACTCGAGAAAGTCCGAAGACCGAAGACAATTCAAATGCATGTAATACTGTCTCCAATTGTCGGGCAACCGTTTTTCGTTCGGTTTTATTTCGTTTTATCCCCTCGCAGCTAACTGAATACCAAATCCGCCTGGCGGGCTTTTCTTTCCAGGCCGTCGTCTCAGTTTTACATTGCGATTTTCGGACATTTGCAGCCACTTAAGCAGTGGCATTCACCTCCGCTTTTGTTCAGCTGTTGGCTGTTGGCTGTTGGCTTTTTCTGGTTTGCTTCTCCTTTTTTTATGTGGCCAAAAGTTGTAGAAGTTGATTTTACTGTTTGACTCTGCACGGGTGGAAAGGGCAAGGCATCGAACATTCGGCAGTGATTGCTTTTGGTTGGGGGCTAAACTTGTCCTCGTGTAAGCATTTATCTTCGAAAGCCCCAAAAACATTTGAATTTATTACCGTGTAATAATAAACGGATTATAAACATTCGTTTTCAAAACTAATATCGGTATTTCACTTAATCGTGAGCAATCAAGCTCGCCATATGTTAATGAAAGTTAACAAGATTTCGCAAATGCTTTTATTGACCCCAGCTTGAAAATAACAAATTATCCCCCATTGATTGGAAAATAAATCTCTTTCACAATGGCCCAGCCAGCAATGCGCCAATTTGAATGTTTAATCCGCCTGATTATCGTGATTAGCTCATTTATCGAAATGCGGTTGCATATTCAGCCGCACCGACATTGCTAATAAACTAATTAAAACGAACGCCAATTTCCAGAGCAAATAATACAGACCGCAGTGACCAAGACCGATGGTTTCGGGTCATTTCAATTCGAATTCGCATGAATTTCACCCGGAGCAGAAACAAATGTATCGCAACTAGCAACCAGAAGCGAGATAAAATTGTGCACAATAATGTGGCTCCTCGTTTGTTCGTTTGTATCTTCAATATATTTTGCCCGGATTGTCGCCAGCTTCTGGCAATTTGTCCACCCGGCGACCCTCGGCAAACAGTGCATCCATCAACTGATTGCTGAACTGTCTAAAATGTATCTCTTTGCATGCGATTCCATATCCGACAACAGTTCACGAGTGAGCTCACTGATGACATCTGCCAGCCTCCCTTTTCGCACAGTGTACTAACGCTATTATTAAATATGAAGGTTTGAATAATTATATAGATTTATTTTATTAGCTTCTTCCTTTGAAAAGTAAACCTTAGGAGAAAGGAACTCTGGTTGCTCAGACAACAGTAGATTATTTTGTTCAGGACATTTAAAATAATTTCTTATGCAGATATATACCTTAAATATATTTATTTTTTTTAAGCCACTGTGCCATATATCTCTTCTATCCTTCTTTTTTCGTGGGCGTTTCCAGCTGCCGGACTCAGACTCCTATTTGTGCTTAATCATTGAAAAGTCTACATGCCCATGAGTCACCATTCAGAGCCAGACCGAATGGAAAACAATCAAACAGAGACAGATGGAAGCTGACATAATAGAGAGAGCGGGGGAAAAAGAGCAATATCCGAGTCCACAATTTGTAATAGATGTCTGCATGACTCCGGCTCAAGTCCGCTTTAATGGATGACCCACATTGGCGGCCACCAGTTGATTATGAACTGCGTTAATGGACGGCGAGGCGCGAGTTTCTCGGCTAATTTCCGAGCTGGCCTTAATTGATTTTCCCCTTTCTTTCTTTTGGGGAGTCAAAGGTTGTGTTAGGGGCGTGGCAAAGTGCACTAAGCCATTGTGTTGCACCCAACTCCGAATTTATGCACGACACTTCAATATATTCCATGAAGAGATCGCCTGTCGCAACTGAGAAGCAGAAGGCCCTTGTCTTGTGGCTTCTCGGCCTTTGGGTGAGATGTTGGGCAGTTAGGCAAAGTCACTCGCAGTGGCAATTTGGCCGGAAAACATCCGCAAACAGAGGGGCCCAGACCTCAAACATGCAACAGCTGCCGCTCGGCTGCAACTCGCAATTTATTGCAGCTCCATCTGCCCAACTGCCTAACTGCAAATGATGCTCCAGAGTCAGAGTCGGGCGTGCCGCAAATGTTTGTGGCCCCCAGCTATTATGCGGATTTGGGTGCGAGATGGCTTAAACTTACTCGACAAGCAATAATTTTAATTGAGAGTGCTGCCCCAGCGTGGCAACGACTCTTTCGGATCTGCAGAGTGCTCTAAAAATATTACAAAATTTATTAAAGGTTGTAAAATATATATAAATAACACAGTAACAATAATAACCAGCACATGAATACATCGTTTAAAATAATAGAGAAATAGATTGTAAGCCGGAGCCTCCTGCAAAGCAATCTCCGTAATTGACATAATACCAATAAAAATAAAGCATGTAAGCCCGTTTCGCCGACTGATTTACTGCCTGACCTTAGCAGAAATAGAAAGGAAGATCAAGACCCGGCCAAAGGCAAATAACTATATATATTTAATTGGATTTCGCAAGACGAAAGGCAACTGCAACTGCAGCTGCTGTCATGAGGAAGCCAGCCGAAAACTAAAAATGCGGCGGAGACAACGAAGATGCCACACAAATTTGCTACCAAAACAATTTGCAATTGTTGCTGCTGCTGTTGAGGCTGATGCAGCCGCAATTTGGCTGGCATGGCACACAATTTCCATGCCACAGAAGAGTTGCATGACGCAACGACGCCAGTTGCCACCACACAGTCGTCCATCAGCGGAAAATCAGGGGGGGCTGGGTTGAGTTTTCCATGTGAGTTTTCCCATTAACTTGCTGCTGGGTCAATATATCGCCGGTGTTGGCCAAACATAACACATAATTATGCTTCTGTTTGCTGCGAGGATTTTGCTGCGAGCCGCTTTCACGGCTCGTTTGCCACTTTTCTCGATTTTCCACTTTGTCTAGCCATCGAAACCATTTTCGGCTTTGTCTGCCATCTTCTTGTTGACATTAAACTGTTGTTTAATGTTGGCCCGCAAAATGTCATTAAGACAGATAAAAATCTTCTTTGTGATGCTCGAGGAAATTACCAAGCGACAGACTGCTGTTTTATAATCAATCATTAAAACTCGAGTGCACTGGTTACGATTTGTTTGGATAATGAAAAACAAGAAACTCACTTAAAGTGAAACTGTGGAAAGTTTGGTTTTTTACAAATGTTTGGTAGGGAATATACATCAGTCAAAAAATCCGTAATAAATTATGAATCGACTACTGGCTATATATCAATTTGAATAACATATTTCGAAATGTGTTGATATTCTGCACAAATTTCCATATTCAATGAAACTTTCTGGGGCAACTTTTTGATTATTCCACTGAAATGTGACACCCCGTTTGGTGAAATAAACTTTTGCCGTACTTGTCTGGCCAACAACAGACTGAACAACAAACGCATTTTATCAGAGTTCGGGTTCAATGGGCGCATTGTTTTGGTTATTTTTCTGCCTGCCGTGGAAAGGAGCATATGTCAATATCTTTGGTTGCGAACGGCGTGCATAGACTTTTAATTGAATTCTGTTGTTCTTGGGCGCTCTTCGAGGTGGCTTATTGGGGAGTGGTCTGCCGAAAAGCCCCGATTTGTAATGCAGAAAAGAAACAGAAAGCCCGAAACAGATTGCAATGAATGATAAAGTTTCCCCGCTCGCCTCTTCGCATTTTCTTGTACGGGTGAAAACTAAATTTGATACGTTCCAATTACTAAATTATGCAGTTAAGAGCTCTTTCGATGCGAGAGTCATTCAGCTGGAAGAGTGCACACGCTCCCAGCCAGACAGACTCAGACACAGAGACGGAGACCATGGAGAAGTGGCAAAAACACGGGGCCCCGAGCCGAGATTAAAGAAATCTCGGCTGGGCAAACAGACGGCAAAATAAAGCCAAATAGTGGTTAAGGTTGGCTGATTCCGGGGGAGATTCAGAAGCACATGCACGGTCAGCTGGGAGAGGCAAATTAAAATCGGAGAAAGAAAGAAAAACAGCAGTCAAAGAAAATGGAAAAACTCGCAGAATTGTCACTAATTAGAAAATGGAAATGGAACAACAGTACAGCCAACTATACTATATAAAATGAAAGACCACAATTTAACGCGTATCAAATCCTGATTTATGCAAGATTGTTATGAAATTTCAAATTGAAAATGATGGAAAATCTAGTCGGCATGCTCGCCATGGCCAAGTTCCCGGATGGCCCGCTTCTCGGCGATAATCTTGGCCAGCCACTGCTGGTTCTCTCGGGCCAAGTTGACCAGGGTGCTGAAGTCACTATTGAAGCTATTGATGCGCTTCTGCTGGAAGTCGATTATCTGCTGGCAGCGTTGGTTCGCCTTTCCCCGCGACTCGGCGAGATTGCGCCAGTACTCGATATCCTTTATAGAATTATCCTCCACAAGTCGATCGGCCGATGAAGACGCCTTCTTGAGTGCCCCATTAAGTGTCATTATAATTCGGGCCAAAAGCCGCAAGGATATGCGACAAGGTGCCTTTTTCCCTTTGGTAGTTGCTCCATCGGATCCAAAGGATCTGCTGATGATCTCGTTGATAACCGAATCGGTAGAGAACTCCGTATTGAGCTCCACGTTGCTGGAAACCGCCAAACCTGGGGACTCCATCCTATCCTGCTGCATCGAGGAATCCTGCTGCAATTCCTCAACCTCCTGCGAGATCAAATTATTCTCCATTTTACTGCTAACTTCTTTTAAATTTTGTAAATATTTTATATTGCCTGGTCTACGGTTGTTTAGGTTGTGAGATTTTTTATTCAAATCAGCAAGAGATCCAGTTCAGAGACTACTTGGATTTAAAAACTATTCTGGCGAAAAAACATTATCTTAAACCATTCATTACTGCTTGGCATGCCAAGTCCCATTAGTTCCATTATTTTAAGATCTATATTATTTATCTTCTTTTAATTGAGTTTCTTGTCTGCAGTTCATAATCTTGGCCCAGCTCACAAATCATAAAAATGGCCAAGAAAACACAAGCACTCCCATTTTCCCATTAAATCTTATCGAAATTTCCATATTCTCTGTGACCCCAAACAAAAAACAACCAGTGGCATCATTTGGCTCTGAACTCAATTCAAAACAATTCGCCTTTCTTGCTAGTTCATTTTTATTTGGCTGGAAACATTGAACTCGAGCAATAAACTCGAAGATGACCAAAAAAGAGAAACATTTATGGCAACTTGTTGCTCTTTTTTAGCCCGACGCCAAAGTTGATGATAGTTTTTTGCCAAACTAATGACAAATTTGAGCAAACTAGAATTTGATGAGGTGAAATAAGATGAATTTAGCGAACTGACTTTGACCTTTTGGGTGGGCGAAAAGTTTCTTATTTCTCCTGACGTCAGTCGCATAATTTTTCAGTCATTACTCTCCCGAGGATTTCCACAAATAGATTTCGTTTACAAGAAGGAAAGTTGCCGGGCCCAAAGGACACATAAATTTGCAAATGGAGAGTTTTTATTTTGCAGCATCTTGTGATAAAAATAACTTTGAAAATTGAGTTGATTTGCACTTGATTGGCGCCGACAAACCGATGTTGTTAAGTGCCATCGGAAGTGAGTTTAGCCAACCAGTTTCCCCTTCAAACAATGAAACTAATTAAGATAGCATTGAAGCTGGAAATTGCACACAGCCCGGCTTTAATGGGAGTGGCCCGCCACAATGCATTTCCGTTTCAATGAGGCTTTAGGGCTTCATGGCTTTATGGCTGTGGGGCTGGCTTCTTGGCCACGCCCGTTGTGTTTACGCTGCGTATGCGTAATCCGATTTATGTATGGAGCACTTGATTTGGCTCGAGGTGTCTGCGAGGCGAGGCAGAAACAGCTGCGGATCACATATGGCAGCAGGGGGTCTTGAAATTGAAGCATTGAGAGCTTTATATTAAAACGAAATTCCCAGAAAACTTATTCCCACTTGAAATGAATGGAAGGGGATGTTAGACTTGAGATTGAAGACTAATAAAGTTATCTGCTTTCCAAAGAAGAGAGCTCTTTGTCTTTTAATTCACCGAACGAATTAGGTGCTGTTCAGTATTCCGAGCCATTTATTTTCATTCAGCGCCTGAAATCCTTTCAACCTTTTCCCAACCGAATCGGACTCAATCAATACCCGAAAAGTATTCAGCATCTGCTGCCATTCAAGAGTTGCGGAGAACTTCTCCAACCTCCAACCAATTCAGGGACGCTTTTACTCCTTGTGGCTGGCTAACTGACCCGGCTAAATTGACAAATGAATCATTTCACTCCGCCAAACAGTGACCCAATTTCGCAGGTCCTGAAAGAGGAGGGTTCCTTTTCCTTTTCCCGACCCGGTTATTAATTGCCCTTTTGCGTTGAATCTATTTGTCAAGAGTTTTGTCAGGAGCTCTTTTATCGGGCTCTTCTAACTCTGATTTATGTGTGGCGAACGTATTGAAAGCGATTTCTTTTTCGGCTGACTCTGGCACTTTGCGTTCAACACTGCGTATGCGTGATTTTAATTTTAAGAGCGTTCTTGTTGCCTGCCCTTGTGGCCCTTTCCCACTCCAGTGGTTTTCGCCGAAACATGTTGCCTTTTAGCGGCAATTTTCGCAGTCGTTTTTAACACTAAGCCAGGCCTTATTATATTGAATGTGCTTTTCTGCATAGCTTAATTTGACATGCACCCGAACGCTTTTCCATCCGAAGATTTCGTGCTCCACTTTGTTTGCACTTATAAATTATTTACTTAAAATGTCTTTCGGCCGCGACTCCCATTCATTTTGTGCAGTTTTATTGGAAGGGGTGTCATAAGGCTTGGTCTCAAGGTTATTTCGCTGTCTGTTGGCTGGCTTTGTTGACATTGTTCTCCTGGCTTTGTCTGTATTTTTAAAAGAGCCAGACGCATTTTGTTATTTTCGTCTTCTTATCGAAAGTTCTCAGGTTTGGCCTTTGTGATTGTGCTAAAACAGAGAAACGAATTTAATCGATACTTAAGAAGGTATTTATCATTCCTCTAATTATTAAGGCATTTCACGTTTTAAAGAGTTTTTAAGTTCTGGCACGTGGACAAAATGCTCCAGCCTTTCTCTTAAAAGGTTTTCCGTGTTATTCTTGCACAAAAGCCGCCGAGAAATCTTGGACGTTGTTCAAACTGGGTCGTGGTCGTGGTGGTGGTCTGGGCCTCCGGTTCCCGCTTCCTGGCAACATTTGCAATTTATAGATTATTAATCTCGGAGCAAACACGAAAACTGTTCGCAATGCTCTGCCTTTTGGAACTGCTCTGTTCTGTTCTGTTCTGCGGTGTTCTGTTGTGTTTTGTTGTGCTGCTAGCTAAAACTTTGGCAAAACTTTGCCATAAACCTGCACGAAACCCAACCCGTTTTCATTTTCCCTCTGCACTCAGAAAAAAGAAAAGAGCTGCATTATAAAAATTAAATTTCAATTGAAATGCATTTCTCAAACTCCATCTTTAATTCCACAAATATAAACATGATGCTTCAGCCTTTATTGCTGTATAAGTACATATATTTTTTGTGTTTCTACAATAGATTCATTCATTTTCTTAAGTGCATCTGAACTGCTCCCAGTTGGGTTGAGTTATTGCCCCGGACGGGCGTCAACGTCGCCAATGTGGCGCAGATTAAAGAAATAAATTAAAACACTTGTCTCCCCATCGTGTCCTTCCTCGGTAGGTGGAGAACCGGGCGCTGCGGCTCCGGGAGGTGGCCACCGCCATGCAGCAGTACCAGGACGACTCCTCCTCGGCGGCCGCCGCCTCCACCGCCCGCCAGTGGGCGCCAGCTGGCGGAGGAGGGGGCGTGGCAGCGGGGGCAGGGGCGGGAGCGGCGGCAGGAGCAGCTGGCAGCGGGGCGGACGATCCCGGCGGCAATGTCATCCTAATCGGCTCGGTGAAGGACTTCGAGCGCAATGCGGTCCACGGGCTCAAGTTGAATGGAATCGTGGCTCTCGAGGAGACTTCGCAGGTGAGGATTCCTTACTTAAATATATCTTTTAGATAGAATAGTTTATATTCAGTTCAAAATATTTATTATATTGTTTCTATATTTCGTAGGGTCTCAGTGGGGGAACTGGTGGTCCTGGTGGTCGATTACCAGTGGCTCCCAGTGGTCGGGGCACCGAAGTGGAGTACTTCAACGAAGCGGGTTACATTCGAGCGGGAGCCCTGAGAAATGGCGAAGATCCCTATATCAGAAATCGCTTTAATCAGGAGGCCAGCGATGCTCTTCCCAGTAATCGGGACATTCCCGACACCCGGAATCCAATGTAAGTTTGTGCAAAGATACTACAGAGTATAAAGACTAATAATCTTAATTAACCAGGTGCCGGAACAAGAAATATCGGGAAGATCTGCCCGAAACAAGTGTGATCATTACCTTCCACAACGAGGCGAGGTCCACTCTGCTGCGAACCATTGTGAGCGTCCTGAATCGCAGTCCCGAGCATTTGATCCGGGAAATTGTCCTGGTGGATGACTACAGTGATCATCGTAAGTGCTTCTATTTGTTTAAAATAATAACATTGTATTAAATTCCAAATAGAAAATGAGAAGATTAATGAATTAATGATTATATTAAACCAAAATTTTATTTTATTATATTTTATTATATTTTTCCATTCCCCCTTTCAGCTGAGGACGGTCTGGAGCTGGCCAAGATCGACAAGGTGCGGGTGATCCGCAACGAGAAGCGCGAGGGTCTGGTGAGGTCGCGGGTGAAGGGCGCGGATGCGGCGGTCAGCAGCGTGCTGACCTTCCTCGACAGCCACGTGGAGTGCAACGAGATGTGGCTGGAGCCGCTGCTGGAGCGGGTTCGGGAGGATCCCACCCGCGTGGTCTGTCCCGTGATCGACGTGATCAGCATGGACAACTTCCAGTACATCGGCGCCTCGGCGGACCTGCGGGGCGGGTTCGACTGGAACCTGATCTTCAAGTGGGAGTACCTCAGCCCCTCGGAGCGGGCGATGCGGCACAACGATCCCACGACGGCCATCCGGACGCCGATGATCGCCGGCGGGCTGTTCGTCATCGACAAGGCGTACTTCAACAAGCTGGGCAAGTACGACATGAAGATGGACGTCTGGGGCGGCGAGAACCTCGAGATCTCGTTCCGCGTCTGGCAGTGCGGCGGCAGCCTCGAAATCATCCCCTGCAGCCGGGTGGGGCACGTCTTCCGCAAGCGGCACCCCTACACCTTCCCCGGCGGCAGTGGCAACGTCTTCGCCAGGAACACGCGACGTGCCGCGGAAGTCTGGATGGACGACTACAAGCAGCATTACTACAACGCCGTTCCCCTCGCCAAGAACATTCCCTTCGGCAAGTAAGTACACTGCGAGAAATATAGGAGGGATTATAAACTAAAACGCATGGGTTGAAATCGGAAACTACAATAATAAAACTCATTTTCTAGTTTGCAGTATTTTTGTTACATTTTTCATTCATTTATATTTTTCTTTTTTTCTTTAACTATTACAAATACTTACGATTAAAGCAAATTTAAGTCATTAGAAATTCCTGATGAACAATTTTTTACTTAAATTCTTCATCTTCTTCATCCAGTGCACGAAATACTTTAGCCAAGTTATTTATTTCACATTGTTTTGCCTCTTTTTTGCCCATTTCCCCGCCCAGCATTGATGACCGTCTGGCTCTGAAGGAGAAATTGCACTGCAAGCCCTTCAAATGGTATCTGGAGAATGTCTATCCCGACCTGCAGGCCCCCGACCCACAGGAGGTTGGCCAATTCCGGCAGGACGGCACCGAGTGCCTGGACACGATGGGCCACTTAATCGACGGCACAGTGGGTGAGTAATCCGCATATTGTTAGCAAGGTTTACCCTAAGTGGGGATGAAAAATAAAGCAGGAGAGGAGCTATCCTTTATGTAGACAGTTCACAGTAAATAGTTTGCACAAGAAAAAAAGAAAATATATTTTAAGCTGAGGGAAAGGGTATATAAAAAGGAAAAGAATTCGAACCCTTAGATTTAATTTGAATAGTACCTGTTTTGCTCGTTCTGTAGGCTGTTCCTTATTTAGTTTTCCCTTCATTAATTAATCTCCATTCCCCGCCAGGAATCTTCCCGTGCCACAACACGGGCGGCAACCAGGAGTGGTCCTTCTCGAAGCGCGGCGAGATCAAGCACGACGACCTCTGCCTGACCCTGGTGACCTTCGCCCGGGGCTCGCAGGTGGTGCTGAAGGCCTGCGACGACTCGGAGAACCAGCGCTGGATCCTGCGGGAGGGCGGCCTTGTGCGGCACTACAAGATCAACGTCTGCCTCGACTCCCGGGACCAGACGATACAGGGCGTGAGTGCCCAGCACTGCAACTCGGCGCTGGGCACGCAGCGCTGGTCCTTCGGCAAGTTCGCGTGAGGAAGCGGTCCTCGACTCGACTAAGTTCCCAGTTCCAGGACTCGACTAAGTGCAGCTCGGCCGGCCGTGATATAAGTGCGAGTGGATGAGATTAGGAGGAGGAGGATTAGGTGGAGGAGCCAACCTACGCGATGCGGATTGTATGTGTACTGTACTGTGTACTTGTAATGGTTTATTCACGTTGATTTGTTGCTGAACGGAGACACTCACACACACACATTATACTATACTCGTATATTAGCGCGTGTAAGTTCGCGAATAAGTTCAACCTTAGTTCGAATCAAATCAACTGCTCCCGGGGGGTCAAAGTTAAACGCTACCTAAACAAAACCAACATAAGGGCATTCGAAAATGTACTTAGACTGATTAATTTTTTGTATATGTAACTAAAAACTATACGAAAGTGGAATAATACTATAACATACCATGTATAACCTTTGGCAGCTGATGGATGAAAAGGGGAACCGAACTGTAACTGATTTGCATTCTCACACAGCATACAGCACACACTCATTCAAGTCAATTAAGATCTGTACGAAGCCACAAATTAGTACCCACATATGGTCCGTTTCAGAAACCCAAATCAGAATCATCAGGCCCAAGCTCAGAGTCTTCTCAACCTTGTACTTAAACAAACAAACATGAAATGTTATCATTAGTTTTAATTATACACCTAAGTGAAATCATTTGGAATCATTGACAACTGTATGAAATATGTATGTGTATATATTGAGAGTCAAATTTATTTCATGTTTATCGAAGGCCAAAAAAGAACGTTTCGATTAAATGTATTTACATATTGTAGGCAGAGCGAAAAAAGTGGATTGTCTCCTGTGTTTTACCATCGATTGGCTGTTATTTCGCATGCATAAATCATTTAAAGTTTCAAAGGAAATTTATTTGCTATTTATCACGGACAGACAACCGAATTGAGCGGTGAACATATTTTTTCGCATACATTCCATTTATTAGAGTGGCTGAATGATTTGAAATACACAGGATAACACAAACCAAATATTGTATATTTGTTTGTATACCCGAAAAAAAGAGAACGAATGATTAAAAGTGAGTTTTTATTTTAAAACAACTAGAGAGGCAACAAAAGCGGAAAACAATAAATGGAAACATAAAAAACAAATGCAGAGCGCTTTCATTCGCGGGGCAACAGTGCGTATGCTTAATGTAATTGCTACATTCTGTGGGGGGTTGGCAAATGGGGCACAGCTGACATCAAATCTGGCTAAGTACTTGGGCTCACATGTAGGTTAAACGACTTAACTTTCAACTCCGAAATGCCTGCCAGGGCACGTCGTCTACCAAAAAACTCGCGAACTCGAAACTTGGCACATTACGCATACGACACGTAAACACGAAAAATTTTGAGAGCATACTTACAGGCGAGTTCGTTGCGCTAATTTTGTCGTGCTCAAGAAGTGACACAGCAGAGCTGAAATCGCGAGGCATTTCAAACCAGGGCAAGCCGGCTTCTTCTATTTCTGGCCAGAAAAGAAAAAAAAAGTGGATGAGGTAAACATGCCCTGCATAAAGAATGCGGGAAAGCAAAGTGTCATCTTCTCTAGCGATTCCTGAGGAGATAAGCCAAATTGTTTGGGTCGCTGGCTGCTCTAGAAAAATATTTCAGCTGGGAGCTGATGAAATTTTTAATGGATTTGCTACTTGAGAGGCTTTTGTCGGGGCGGCTAATGGCAACAAATAGGAGTTCTCTCTCGAAAATTAAACGGTAAGAAAATATCAAAAGGATCCTCTTTCGCAGCAACCATATAAATATGTTGTAAAAGCGTGTTTCAACCTTGATGTGTCGTTCTTCATTCCTCTGCGTGCGGAGGAGATGCCTCGACCTGGTGATGCTCCACTCAGCTCGTTAGCTTCCTTCCCTTCCCTTCGACTGGGTGGAAATCATAGAAATGCAGGGCAAAGGCAAAGGATGTCGCTGCCGGAAGACAAACCGATTTCCTTGCGAAAGGCCTTACAACGGAAGCTCAACTCAGATGCCTTCGCAGTGCAGGCGACAAGGTTAACCCCCAAGTCAGCCAAATCGTTTATGTCTCCGGCGTGGAAAGCCCTCTTCCCCTTTCCCTTTCCCTTGCACCTCCCTTTCCCCCAATCCATGCCACACATCACGGGAAATTGTTGAGGCGGGTCCTGTGAGCTCGTGTGCGTGGGTAGACAGGTGAATTACGGTTTCCCCATTCGGCCTGCTTCCTCATTTAAGACAGCGTGTGTCAGGCATCCGCAAAAGCCAACTCGAGTTGCCAACGGGAGTTGGTCCGAGTCGAAGGCAAACACAGTTTGCAGCTTCCTTTGTGGCCCGCCTCGGCTGCCTTCTGCTCCTACTTCTCCTTCTGCCCCCGAAGCAGATGCTATCGGCATTTTTTCCGCTTCCGCAGTTTTATCACGGGGCATCAACTTTTGCCTCCGTCCTCCCCCAGGAAATACAGGGTATCAGAGGGGTTATAGGTCAAGTCAAATGGGTCTTATTAACTATTCACATTAAGATATATTTTAAATATATTTCAATTGGTTTTGCATTTATCAATCGTAAGTTACATATTTATTTAGTATCCCTGCTTATCATTCTTAGTAAAAGGAATAATTTCATACCCATTTTCCCCTTTTTTGCTCCTCTAGCAATTAGTTTTTCAATTACCCTCGCTCAGTTAGCCAACTTTGTGCCCCACCGGTCTGCCTGCTGTCTCTTCTGTTAGTTGCCTAACTAGTTTAATTACCACTTTCTGCTAATACTCCTCTCCGGTTGCTTTTCCGTGGAAAGTTCTATGGCTTTTCCGCTGCCTGCTGGGTGTCGAGAGTTCGCTCAGTGCGATGCAAACAGGATCTGCCACTTCCACACATTCCCATGCACTGAGGTCCTGATGCTCCTGGGTTCTGCGTTCTGGGTTCTGGGTCCTGTGTCCTGGATCCTCGGTATTTGTATTTGCTTCGTTACGTCGTCGCTCTTACGTCATTGTCGGTTTACGTGGCGTGTTAATAACCAACGAGCACACACTTCTTCCCCATCTTCCTGCTCTGATAATCAGCTGACATCTTGCAACACAGGTTTGCAGGTTTACAAGCCATTACAATGGGTCGAATGGGGGGGAGAAAGGTGGTGAAAGCTCTCGACTTAAAATACCCTTTCACAGAAGTAATGGGAAAATATTAAAAAATATTTTAGGGCTACTCAAAACAAGAATACAACGAAAAATAAAATATTACCCCCACCTAAAAATACAATAATAATAATTTAGCAAGGGTATTACTTACATATTACTTTCTTATTTTTTCAGTTGTTTTCTGTAATTTTTTCACTGCCTACCAAGTTCATGCATTAATCATTTTCGGGACTTATGTTGTTTGCCCCATGCACATGGTCCAGCCTAAGTAATGAGCTGTCGTTTCCAGACTGTCGCCGGAAACATAATTAACAACACTTTAGGGAGTCGAGTGCATAACGACGATAAAAGTTGTAGTTACAGGGGAAAGTGGCAGGACAAGAAGTTTAAAAAGTTAATGTGGTGCTAGCTGTTTAAGTTGAAGGGTGCAGAAATTACAGGAGTGTTACCCATCAGTTATTTTCTTTACCTTATTACCTTATTTAATTCAATAAGATAAACAGGCATTTTCCTAATCCCATCCATTCATCCTGGCAGCAAATGCAAATGACTTATTTGTTATTGTTGTCTGCCGACAGCCTGAGTGATTATTCAATGTTCGCACCAAATTTGCACACATAAGCGGATTACCAAGTCAGCTCGCTTGTCATTCAGCTTTTGTATGAATTTCTTTATAAAAGAATAAATTAAATAGTAGACCCCAGAAAACTCTATAAAAAATAAATAAATATTTGCAAGAATATTTTTATAAAACTTTGTACACAAGGTACACCTATGAGATTTATTCTGAATACAAATAAAGTAAAACTTTTGTAGAGTAACACAAAAAACCACATATACATCAGCTTAAACGTTCAATTTGCACAGAAAGTTGGCAAAATGTCGCGACAAAATTTGTGACGCAGCAAAAACAGACTCCATCCCTCTCCCTCCCTGCTTCCCTCTCACTTGCACTTCTCTTATATATGTTCACGAGTGCGTAATCGATATCTAAATCCGCTTAGCTTAATTTGCTTCTTTTATTTGCTTATTGAGTTCGGCCCGTCAGAAGTCAAATTACAATAAGAAGGTCTCATGTTTCCCTCGTGATTGATTGAACTTTTGTTTGGCCAAAGAAACATTATTAAAAAAGCATTTGTTACACTTGTACACGTACTTAATTTTTAAGCACATCATTTAGTCTGCACTTTGGCGTGTTCAACATCATCGAATTTTCCCAAGGATAAAAACCTGTCGTCTAACGAAAAACAATATTTCCCCAATCACCAGAATTCATTAATATGTAATGGGCATTTAATGAGTGCGTTGGTGGCGGGAAAATATTATTTTCACGTAATTAAGTTAAGTGAGTGGTTGGCACATATGGAACGGAGAGTTGGTAGTGGAATTTGCGGGAATTTAAGCAGTAACCAAACTGGATATTCAAGAGGCATTTGTTACTAGGTAATTGCAACACAATATCTAAGCAATTCCATACTTAAACTTGAAATCAAATGCTTTCAAGAACACGCATTATTATCCTGCATGCAAAGTAGCCTTTTAGGTTTAAGTAGAAACCAATTTCCCTCTGTATGATTTGCTGCTAAGAGCTTTCCCAATTTATGGTCAGAGGAATAGCAGAACCTCGGCTTCCCTTCAGTCATCCTTCTCCATGATTAACAATCTCTTACATAAGCTGCTTAATTATGTGAGTATGTGGTTGAATGCCGCACTACAGAGGCTGCCATTCAATCGATTGCTTTTCGCATTGGCAATCTCCGAAAGTTAACTACTCGGAATGCGCCAGAAAGTAGGCTGGAGGATGTTTTGGATCGCTGGCAAGGCACGATGCGATGGGCCCAACTAAAATTGTTTTGACAGGCAACAAATAGCAAAGGACAACAAACAAAGCCAGAGGCAAGTCAACGCCATTGTCCCGAGCTGCGGAGGGAAAGTTTCCCCGGGCTTTCCACCTTTGTTCCAGCTTTTGTTCTATCTTCGTATCTCCTCGACTTAATTGGAAAGCATGAAGACGCAAACACAGCGCGACGTGCTGGCATTAACACACGCACGGGCGGGAATAACAAGGCGCAGCCGAAAATGCTTGGCCTTGGTTCGGACCGCAGCTGCCGCAGCTACGTCACCACCCTCTGATACGTGAGCCACCCAAACACCCCACTACCCCACCACCCAACCACCCAAACACTCCACCCTTCGAAGGCCACCAGTGCGTATACATAATTTGCGAGTGTTGCTTCAAGTGGCCGACAGCTATTTATAGTTGGAGCCTCGCAAATTTATAGTGGCATTTAATATTTTATTTTATTGGCTCATACTCCATCTTCTTATGCAATTATAATGACAGCAACAGATTGTTGTGGCCAGTGAATTGTAATTACAACTACACACTCCCCCTTACAGTAACCAAAATCAATATTAATTTGAAGAACAATTCAGTAACAAACAGCAGCAAATGCGATTACAAAGGGAAAATACTCCGGAAACCGTAAACCCTAACCCTTGAACCGTGAAATTTCCCCTTTGGCTCTCGCTTCCAATCAACCGTCGCCGGATTTGCTCAACTAATTAGCTACTTGGGAGCAAACACTTGGGGAAATCCTTCAGTTCGGCTTCTCCAATTGCATGATTGTATGCAAATAAATCGTTAGCCGCAGTTGCCAGTTAATTCAACTCGGGTTCAGGGATCAACAATGGGTAGAAGGGGGCGGGGTCGGCAGCAAAAACGACACCTGATGCCAATTAAAGGACTAATTAATTGAAATCAAAAGCCCGAGTCTGCCACTCAGCCAGACGCCATCAATCCGGGCAATCAGAATCAGAATCGGAATCGGATTCGAAGTCTCGGATTCCAAGTCAAATCAATGTCCGGAGCAGGCGCATCCCAAAGTTATGGGTTGCATAAAAGTCAGCGTCGATGATAAATGAAGCCGGCAGCATTTGCATCGGCATGCATATATAATGGCCAAGAAGTCGGAGGGCCAAGTGGATTTGGCCGAGTGTTTCGAAGGGCGGAGATGGGAGCAGCTCCTTTTCGCTTTCCTTTGGCTGCTGAGATTACGAGGACGAGGATGGAAAAATACGTATTCCATTTGCGAAGCGACAGGACTAAGCTACCGAGTGAAAGGATAACAATGTCGGTGACACATGAGCTACCAAAAACGAACTAGGACTCAGGGAAACTGAGTGAAAGCAGATTTCAGGAAAAACTGCTTACAAAAATTGTAGTTTGCTTTTTTGCAGATTGAGTAAGGTATACTTATGCCTTATAAATACTGTTATAAATAACCCCAGGACTGCAAATACATCTTTAAACAACTAAATCTGCAAGCCCTTCAAATCAATTTCCCGCCCCCACGTTTTCCAACGGAAATTGACATGGAAAAATGTTTATGACTGAGTAGCCGCAAGCAGAAAACCGAGCAAATGCAAAAGAAAAATGCAGATAGGAAATGGAAAACTAGAAAATAAGCAAGGGCCGCTACACATGCAATAACTTGTAGGACACGATTTCCCAGCTTGCTTTTCCATGTCGAAGTGCAAAAGGAGTTGTGAAAAATGGCTCTAATTCAGTAATTTCCTATTGTCTAGCAATTTGCGTTCTCCTTCGCCTGGCAAATGATTTAATGAAATCAATTACAAGCTGCTCTCCTTTTTCCCACCTCTCGGAAAAGTGGGTGGCAAATGAAATTAGTAAGGCCCAAGGAGCCAAGGAACGTGGAAAAGGAGGAAGAGCGGGAAAATAAAGACGGAGGAAAATTCTTTTGAAGGAAAACGATAACTTGAACAAATTGTTTGTAGTCTGCTCTGCCATACGTACGTATTTTATTGCCTTTTATTGGGTTTTTATGGCGGCATCTTCATGTTTTCGCCTTTTTCTTAGGGGAAAAAATTCAATTTGAGAAAATACTTGTGGCGGTTGACTTTGATTCGATATGGTGTATAAATAGGTTTATGTTTTTATGTATGAGCTGCATGTTATTGAATTTTTACAGCCAAGCTAATTCAATTTTAAGGAACCTGCAGAGAAGTAGACGGACGACTTTAATTTTACAGAAAGTTCATTTTATTTTTCCTTCTGCTTATCCTTTTGTTTTTCCTTTTTTCGGACTTCTTCTCGGATTTCTTCCCAGACTTCTTGGACTTTTCCTTCTTGGGGGCTTCCTTGCATGGTGGAACACATTTGCTCTCCTTGGTCTCCTTCTTGGACACTCCCTTGTTGCACTCCTCGTGAACGGGTCGAGGCTCCTGATACCCTGTATCCGGCGAACACGGCGGGCAATTGCACTCGGGCTTCAAATCCGTACAGCAACTGGGAGGAGATGGTCCGATGTAAAAAGGATTGAAGCGGCACACCATTTTGAAAAGAGAAATATCCCATCCGAAACTTAAAATTTAGATGTTGAAGACCCAAAAACAAAACATTTCTGTGACAAAAATAGCATAAGTAGTTGGGGTTTACTACACACTTGGGAAAGTGTTAATTGGTAAGAATATATTTACAATTAAAATTAAATTAATGCATTGCAGTTATTTATTTACGAAATAAACACATTGTAAATGACAATGTGTAAGTTGACACCTTAAATTATGGGAGTTTTTGTTGACCAAATGTAAAACGCTTTGCGCAGTAGCCACACTGAATTAAACAATTCCTGGGGCTCGTGTTTGTCCTTGTGCAACTGTAATTATTTACGAGACTAAAACACCAAATTAGCATTAAATCGAGAGCGGTCGAGACCAAACAAACAAGGCGAGTTTGCTGGCAAATATTTGCCGGCGTGTGCCAGCTTATAAAGCTGCAGGCATAGAGAGCTTAAAGCTGATTATGTGAGTTTGCACAACAAATGCGGAAAATATACAACAAGATCCAAAAAGGCGAGGCGAACCGCAGAAAAATAAACATTTAATGGCGGGCGGGGCGTAAAAAAACCCGGCTAAAATGACGGCCTGGAAAAAATGTACCGAAATGAGGAAGGCAATAAAGCAAGACACATAAGCCGCAACGCCACAAAAGGACATTGCGAAGGAAGGACAGAGATGGGGAGTGGGGAAGATAAAGGACACGCTCACATGCTTTGAAAGTTTTCAATTTTTACGACTTCATTAGAAACGCTTGATGAGCAATAATGATAACAGCGAGGAGCGAGGAGAAAGGCGAAAGGAGAAAGGAGCAAGGACTCTTCGGAACTCGAAGAAGGGTGAAAAGGAAGCGGAAGCGCGAAGGCTGTCCGCAGATGTTGCTGGAAATTACTCAACTACCACTAAAACCACAGTGGAAGCCGCACAAATGCTAAAAATTTCACACAAGAAGATTGAAGAAAACCCGTTTAAGGATGTTTGAATCTTAAATACACTACAAAAAATTTAGTAAAAAATACTATTCGATTTTGTGTTAGCAAATTCCTCATAATTAGGTACAAAAATTATCTGAATTTTATAAATACCTTCTTAGAAATTCAGTAACCCCTTCCTAGGGTACCGCAAATCCCCAAAAGTTTGAGAGGAAGGAGCCCGAAAACCACGGAGGAGTCGAGCTCAAGGATGTGAAACAGCTGGAAAATTACCCCACTCGCACACCCAAGGAGACTCTCGTATTTATGAATGAGCCTGGCCCGAGTGGCCAAATGTGAGAGGGCGAAAAGGAAGGGAAGGGCAGAATGTGTTGACTGTAATGAAAGTTTAAATTGTTCTCCTCACTGGATGCCTAAGCAAATGTGACAGGGCAGAAAAAGCTGTGGCTTTCTGGGGTCACGCTCCTTCCCTGCGGAATTAAGCAAATAAATTTCCACGGTCTAGTGCAATAAAGTTTATCATAACGCTTCGGGTTTTCCTTTCCTATATGGAGGGTTTTGAATCTGTGAATGGAATTCGTAAAAAGGAGACAACTTATGGTTATGGTTATTGTCGAGTTTAGGAAGTGATATGTGGGGTAATTTGTCCAAGCGAATGAGAAGAATAATATAAGAAGAAGGCAATCTTAAAGCTATATATGTCTTAAAAGTAGTTCTAGCTTAATATATTATAGAATATTCCTTTGACCCTCTTTAAATTCCCCGCATGCCAAGTCCACACATTGTGCTCCAAATCTGTCAAATCCCCCGCCCCACAATTCACTCCACATTGATGGGATCCCCGTGAAAGGCCGCTCACTTAATTACAAGTTTATTCAATTTAAAATCAATACGAGGCCCACGAATCGAGAGCGTTTTAATCACATAATTGCATGGGATCCCCGAGGAGCGGGGAAAATTCGGTTCGATGGCAGTCTCCTCGCTTTTCCGCATAAATATGAATGGCAATGAATTCATTTCGAGTGGGCAGCCAGCACATAAGTGTAATTACGCATACGCACGCACACCCAAACAAATATCCACACTCACACACACACATGCACACACACAGGCGTGGCATTTCGGAAGGACATGGGCTGCGTCCTGGTCACGTTGGCTCATTTTCGCTTAATGTTTTATGCACAACTAAATACAAATGCGCTTTAATGAGCAAAACTCAAACCGGCCATGCGGTTAATTTATTATGCACAGCCAGCTTCCACAGGAGGCGTGGCAGGGGGAGGGCGGAGGGAAGAGAGGGGGAGGGGAAGGCAAGGATAACTAATAATATGGCATTGTCGTGGCATTAAATTGCCAATGTTTGTGTGGCGAGGGGAGGGGAGGAGGGGGAACTGCAGATAAACCGCAGCAAGTCAACTTTAATGCATGTAACAATTACTCTCATACGCTCTCTTTCGCACACATACACACACACAGCACCGCTCTCTTACACACACACACACAGACTGCTGCAGAGTCATAAAATGCAGGCAGCAAAAAAGCGTAAAAAGTGATATTTGCAACGACAACAACGTGGCATACTTTTCGGGGCATGTGGCACAGGGACTTAACCGCAAACAAGGCCAAGCCGGAACTTAAATTATTGGGGAGCATTCGAGTGCGATTTGGGGAACTGGAACTGGAACAATTGCCGCCGACGAGCAACGGTAATTTTCCAATGGAAACTTAGGTGGCAGGAAACACAGAAGCAGTGAGAAATGTTTAGGTAATAATTGATTGTTGAAAACTACAATTAAACCTTTTTGATTGGCCTTTAAATGAGGTTATTCAATTGAAACAAAGGTATTAGAATGTTTAAATCGTACTTCGAAATGTAGTTTCCTACAAATTAACTCACATTCGTAGCGAAAAATAGCACATTTTTCAATTCCTAGGGAAAACCCATGTGGAGCGTTACAAGCCTCAGGGACTCAACCACTCCTCTTTTCCCGTCAGGACATTTATCATGTGGGACTTGCTGGCCATTTGATTAACACCTTTTGGGAAGGTTCGGACAGACCGAAATAAAATTGCGCAGAATAATTTAAAACTAGAGCCGCAGTCAGACGAAACTAGTTGTTGCTCCTGTTTCGCCGTTGTTGTTTGCGCATTTCATTTCAGTGGCATTTTGCATGCCTCGTTGAATGTAGTCCAAAAAACATATATATAACATGCATATGCATATAAAGATGTATGCTATTCCATGACTGCCTCGTGTGGGCGAATTCTGCGTGTAAGCGCTCATGCAAGTTGGTTTTTACTGCGAAATGCAAGTGGACCAAAGCAGGGCTTAAAAATTACAGCCATGTTCCATGTGCCACATCTACTGTGGAAACCGTGTTAAACCTAAAAGAGTTATAAACCAGCAGATGAGTAGCTTAATACAGAAAGCGAACTTACTTTTGATTCCATTTATGTCACATAATGGAGATATTCATTAAAAATATAAGCTTAAGCTGCCAATTAAACCTTCGGCTTGTATAAAATTCCACAAGCTCAACAGATTGCTATCCCTCCGCTTGAATTCATTATAAAGCCGCATAATACCTTGGGTATTTTCCACACGCACACATACACACCACTCATATCACCTCATTAATGTCTAACCAAAATCCAGCAGTTCAGTTCGGCTGATAAGAGAGCGTGGAAAACGGAGAGTCTTCTGGGGAACTTAATCCTTATCTTGACTTGGCTAACAAAGTGGAAACAAAGGCCGCCATGACGACGGGCCAAATCCTTTCAACTATTCGATGAAAGGCGGATGCGAAACCACATCCTCCACCTGCAACCCCCAATCTCCAGCCTCCAATCTCCCATCTCCAATCTCCGACCCCATCTCATTACCATCGTGAGTCCGCAACTTTAATGGCAAACACTTTTGGCTCATTATTTCCAATGCAAGTCGCTGCTCATTTGCAGCTCGTGAAACTTTTCATTAAACAAAAAACGAATTCATAGTGAATACTTTAACTCTTGCATAATGCACACGGACAGCCATTAACGCTAATGACGTCATGAAACTCAATGCACACCACAGGGTAGCAGTTTAAGCACCACCCAACCCACCACCCAACCACCCCACCACCTCCTAATGGCTGAATGGCAGGGTGGGGCAGAGTCGAGCTCAGTCTGGCCACAAAATGGGGCACAACATGTAATGTCGGCCTCAACTTTCGCCCGGCGAACTGTACAGTGAACACACTTGTACCGAACTCCCTCCCCCTCCGAACAGATATCGAAAAGTTTCCAACAAAGCCCATCTATTACAATAAACGCTACTTTCGCTTACTCCACAATTACCAAGGGTCGATTGGGCTTGCGAGGCGGCTTAAAGGGGGGTTAATAATATTATTTAAGTGCTGTGACCTCAGAGAAAACAGCTCCGAATTAGTAAGAAGTTTACCTATTTAAACACAATAATTATTTAGTATTTTTCCAAGGTATTCAATAGCCTTAACAACCCCGAATTTAGACTTCCTTTTTGGCCAAGAGTGTGCGTGAGTGCTTCCACTTCTTTCACGCTTGGCTTCCAGTCAACATTATCTGATTCCCAGCAATTCGCCAGTTTTTGACCAGCGCAGCATATGACTTTAACGACAGCGGCCACATGCTCCCAATGGCAACTCTTGGTCGAAACATCCTCAAAGGTTAAGAGCCAAGAAAGGGAAGAGTAGGAGCCACTCTTGCAGCATGAATTGGTAAAGGGATTCCATTCTGTTGTGCTGTTATTGGGTCACAACTAAGGGAAATTGTTTTTTCCGTTTTCTGCTCCACGTACGCCGCTTTCAGATAAAGCTAAAAAAGCAGACAGAGTCAGATTTTAACCCTGCTTGGCACGATTTCCTTTCCACATACTGTTAGTGTGCCAAATGGTTATATTTTATTTACAGCTCAAAACTTTTCGAAGAGACAACGCAGCTCCGCGTTGTTTTGGCAAAGCGTTTTACGAGCCACGAATATGGAACTGAATCAATTGCTTGTAAGGGATTGCAGAAATGAAATATGAGAAAATAGTGAACACAGTACAAAGTAGATAAATAATAAAGTATATATTTATCTGCACTTTAATCTGGGATACTTTTAGCACTTGCCTTAAGAAACTTAATTGGTTAGCGAGAGTAACTAATAAGAATGCCCCGCGAATGCCCCATTTCCCAAGTCGTTTTCGAGGCAATCCCCGCATTGCACCCCCTCCGAACTGCAATTACCAGTTAAACCAACTAAGGCACACCAACAAGCTGAAAAGGAAGTTATTTCAGCATCCTGCTGCTTGAAAGGCCCCAGGACTCGCACAGCCCAAGTCCTTTTCGCTGGGCTACTTACAAACTTTGCACCCAGCTCGTAGTTTGCGTGAATATTTTTGTGGACTATTTTGGGTAATACCTCGTTGGCTGCACGTTGCGTATTTCAATTTGCGCCGCTTAATTGTATTTCACAAGCTCCGAGATAAGTTTACAGCTTAGTCGAGCGAAAATGGGAAAGCTAACTCTTTTGGATCAAACAGCACTTTAATCTAATATACCTGTGGTTGGTTGAAAACTAATATTTTAGCTTTGAAAACAATATAACCATTAAAACTGTCGCCCTTTCTGCTCTGAAAATCATTTGAAGCGGTATCGAATCAAGAGCCTTAATTCCCGAAAATCGGTTACTCCGACAACATTGCCCGTTCCAATTAAAATTGTTTACTTTTGTTGGGGCAACAATCGGGGGATGCTCCATTATTGCCCTTCGCCACAAACCGTCTGATGATTTCCATTAAATTCATAAATATTTGATAGCACCGACAATCGAACCTCTGCATCTTTCATTACCCATCAAAGCGAATTGGCGTCGAAAATGTTGGTCGGAATGGAAATCGGAGTTCCCATAAGAACGCAGGCAAAAACATGGCAACATCATCATCGTGGTAGTCATGGTATGCAGGCAAAATACATTTTAAATTATAATCAATAATGTATGCTGGGCTTTCGGAAGCAGAAATCAGAAGTGAAAAAATTTACTCGAGCACCGAGTGCTGCAATGCCGTAAATGAACTCGTATGCCATTGATGAAATGGATCATTTTTGGGAGGATTAATTTATAATACGCATACGGGTCAGAAATTTGATTTTGCAGCTGTGAGAAGAAATTTTGCAGTGAACCACCAGACATAAATCAAATTATTGAAAACAAATGATTTTTTTAATAAAAACATTGAAAAGTAAACCCATTTTATTACTCGTTGTTCAATTTCTTTGGGCTGCACTTATAAGATTAAACGTATTTTTTGACTGCATGAAGTGCTAACTTTTTTGAAGCCTGAGGCCACAATGAACCATTCAACGACGTGTCGGTCCTCAAATAAAGCCACTCGCAAATTATGGGGCAAAAAAACAATGCAGAAATGCGCAAAAATATAAAGAAAACAGGGAAAACCAGGGAAAACATAGTGGCGATCCAACAACTGGGCCCAATTGCGCTGCCTTGTTTCTGCTCCCTGTTTCGCTTTTCCTGCACTCTGTGGATTTTTTTAATTAAACCAAGCGACAATTTGACATCAATATCGAAATTAAGATCTTGCAGAGGCCGCACAACACTTCGCCACATCGGAGAATAAAAAAACCCGGGGAGAAGGGGAGCTCACAACTGAAAGGGAAGTCATTGGGACGCCACCCCGATTTCTCCAATAGGTGCGAGAGGGACAACAACTTCCGTCACATGCTGAAAAAGCGGATATCCGGTACAACAAATTTTTGTTGTAGCCGCTTGAAACTTCGGTTGAGGGTATATGTATATTTACGGGTATGTAAGACGTTTGAAGTTCTAAAAAAAATTTAAGTTCTTTTAATTATAATTCTTTTAAAACTGATTAAGATTTTCATTTACTAAATTTATTATAATTATTAGCATTACATTTTTATCATTGCATACTTTTTAGCACCAAGTAATTTGTGTGCAACCTATTCTGAACTTTTGCAGAGCATCGGAAACCTTTGTTTTCCACAACTTTGGCCCCCATTCTCGTATTTTCACAACATTTCAGTTTTGTTTTGTCGTTTTCAATTTTCTTTCGTCCCTCGTTCGCTTATTGCTTCTGTTTATGTGTAAATCGTCGGAGGGGGTGTAGTGTGTGGGTGGGCGTGGCCGTGCCGGATATTGATGTGTTATACGCGATGTTGTGACTGCAATATATTTGCCAAATGACTGTTGATGCCTCCACTTTCCCCCGGAAAAAAGGCAGAGAGATAAAGGTCCTCGCACACGAGGCTGCGGATGCAGGAGCAATAAAATTTTCGGTTCGCAGGACCCGAGATGGGGAAATAATTGCGGCCCCCGAAAGTGTTGCCATAAAAATGCAAATGCCAAATGCCGCAAGTTGCGAGTGAGCGGCTCCTGAAATCGACCCAGAAAACAAACAATAATGAAACCCTTGACGCCGACAACATAAATCCGCTCTGGCGTATATAACAAACGACATCCAACAAATCGAACAAAGGATAAATAACCCAAGCGTTTCCAGCGAATATCCGTTTCGGCACTTTAAACATTCACAACTGGGCAAATTGAAGGTCGTCAATTATTTCTGGCGATATTATTGTTTATCACTTCGGGGCCATCAAATCGCCATAAAAAATGTATGTGTCCGGTCAAAAAGCAACAGCTTGTCACGCCAATCGAAAAGGAATAATGCTGATATTTATGTGTGCAGATTAAAGCTTATGGGACTAAAGCTAACAAATTTATCGAATCAAACAGCACAAATCTGGTTTAAAATGACATGTGGCAATTAAGCGTGTGAATAATCAAAGTTTCATGGATTTATTTTTATTATTTCCCATGACTTGGTGAGGGTTTTTGGAAACATTGTTCTCCACTTTGCAAGGAAAACAACTTAATTGTAAAAACCTAACCCACTCATAACTTATTTTCCAACTGAACAACTTCGAGAAGTTTTTGCATCATTATCCTCATAAACAACTACTTCTTCATCTTTTCAATTGAAGTTATATCTGTTTGTAACTTTTGAGTAGAGAAAAAGTTGTAGTCTTTTGCACAGCTCTAGAAGATATTAATGCAAAGTTGAGCTCCTAACAGTGGAAATCTAAAATATATCTCCCGAAAAATGTGTAGCTATTGAATTTCCGTTTTTTGAATGTTGCCCAGAAGAGAAGGGCTTAAAAATTGCAGTTCTGCAGCCTTCGGCTGCGTTTTGTTACATAACAGCTAAAACTTTGCCAAAGCAAAGTTTTTGTATCTCAGCTGCGTATCTGTATATATTGCATTTGTATCTGGTTCTCAGTGTTGCAGCCAGGATTTCTGTGTGTGCTGCCTCTCATCTAATTGCAGTTGGGAACTGTTAGGCGGCTTTTGAAGTTTTTAATTGAATTTCGCTTATTGCCCGGACTTGGCTTTAATAGAAAACATTCATGGACAATTTGCATGGATACGTATCGGTTGCCTTTTTAAGTTTTCCGTTTGGAATTTGTATCCTTTGCAAATATGCCAAGAGCGTAATAACACAACTTTTTGGTCTTTATGTGTATCAAATAACAATTACTGGGCCCAGAAGACAAAAAAAGTAGGTACACAACAAATAAGAATGTATTTTCTTCGGGAAATTCTCCCCTTTAGCATATTTATTTTTGCTTTGTACCATTTGCCCTCGTCTTGACTTGCCCTTGAGGAGGACTTACCAACGAAATATGAGAAAATTTGCACAAAGCTTTCGCAATATTGCCCTGGGACTCGAAAAAGACAATCACCTGGTTGTCGAGGGTTAAATGGAGCTTCATCTGGGCCGGCGGGTTGGCGGCTGTCGGGGGTTAAGTGTTTTTATCATCTGTTTATTGGAATTGCGTATCAAATGTTCGATTTCCATCGAAGAGGTATGGGAAATCCACTTGGAATTCTCTTGGATTCCCTTCCCCCAAATTGAAAAAAAAAAAGAAAATTAAAAGAATACAATCAATTTACAAATAATTTACTTTTCGAAAAAAAATAAAGCAGGTGTAGACAATCAAACATTTGTTTAAAAAGATGAATGCAAACCAAATTGTTAGGTTTAATATAATTTAAATATAACAAACACAATAAAAATTCCCAGCAAAAAATTTAAACAAGTGTTTTGTGTTTGGTGCAATATAAATTAGAACAAATACAATATACTGTTGAACTCTATTATTAGTAATGAACCCAAAAAGATATTCTATAAAACCGGCAAATTTTTACAGTCAGTCGCTCTTTGTCAGTCAAAGCAATCGGTTTTAATTTACGACTCCAAAAAATTAAAAATGCAACGCTTCTCCACCGTTTTTCTACTGTTGTGTGTATTCACTTGTGCTTTGACTCTTAATCGTAAGTGTTCTAAAATAAAGCAACCAGAAAACAATAATCTAATTTAAATAACCCCTTATTCAGCAATCTGCAAAGTTAAATTTCGAGGCATCGGTTATTGTAAAATGTTAATGCCGAGAATTGTTTACATGCCATCTGAAAACAAATGTAAATTCGTTTACATTTCTGGATGTTCCGCCGAAGGAACTTTTTTCAGGAGCCTGAAGAGCTGTGTAGCCAAATGCAAGGTGTAATGCTATAAGTTATAAACATACAGGAAAAAACTGAAGAGATATTTAATAAGTCCTACATTATTTATGTACCTTGTATAACTCGATTAGTAACAGGTATTAAACAATATTATAAGCGAAAAGTTCTGGCTTTTTAGTTGTTCAGTTCAAGTCAAAAGAATAAGATTTGTGTCCAAGTTCAGATAAATAGAGCTATGCAACTTTTTTTAATTGTCTGCCTAATTTGTTTCGTTTATACTTGTCGCGCAGCTCTAAAGAACTGTAAGTATTTTGGGAACCTTTTTCATTTAAATAATTTTAGTATTAAAACCAATTACTTGTGCATTTAGCAATTTGCGATGATGAGGTGTATAGCGTCGGGGCTTGTAATGCCCTACACTGGCGAATCGGTTATACCGTGCGGAATAACAAATGTGCTAGAAGGTCTTATGGTGGATGTGAAACTGGTGGCACAACTTACAACACAATAAAGGAGTGTGAAGATATGTGCAAGGAGTAATATTATAGGTCATTAAAAAGTTTCCTTGAGAATTGTAATTATGTGTTTCATTTTTTGGCATACCATACACTAGAAATAAGGAGCGATCTCGGATAATAATTTAATGTCTTGGGAGTTTAAGAAAATTGTTATTTTTAATACTTTAGCAATCAGCGAAAAGAAATTTAAATGGTTCAGCACAACTTTTCCTATTTCCCAGCATGTCGTTAAGACATCCACAACTTCGCTCCTGTTAACCCAAGCTCCTTACCCTTTGCCCCTTTTTGTATTCATATTTTATTTTTTGAAAACTTAGGCAAAACTAAAGCCATGAAAGCATAATGACATAGCCGACGACAAGTGCGCGAAATGGCTGAATAACAACAAAAATGAGGAGTGGAGGAAATAAAAGCAGGACGAAGGGAATAAAAACTTGGTAGACAATTAGCAATGGGGCGCAAATGTGATTTTTTTTGAGTCCAGTCTGGATTTACTGTAAAACAGAGAAAAAAAAATGTTTAAAACGAAAATGTGGACAGTTTTTAAATTAAAAAATTGTGATTTTATTTTTATTTTAGAACTATATAAATTGAAATACATACGTTTCTTATACGTTTCCCATTGTCCCATGGTTGTTACATTTTGTCCACATTTTTATTATTTTAAGCTTTTAATTTTTGTCGAGTGTACTGCTGCTGTTTTGGAGCTTTAAAGGCGACTGCATTAATTAGATTAGGATGCCTACAAATCATTTTGGAACGGCACCCGAGTGGCAGTCTCCGGATTTTGGGAGCGAGTAAGCTCGGTAAGCTCACACATTATTCACACGCTTCGCAGCGCGCAATTTCCCGTCATTTCCCAAAATGCAAATTGCGCACAAACAAGACTACATGGAAAAATCGGTAGCGCGAACCCCGAGCAATTTAAAGCAGTGCGGAGCAGGGATAACGCAATCGAAATCGGTCCGAAAATAGCAAAAACAGCGGCGGGGCTCCGACGCGAAACAATTAGAAACTATAAGCCTCCAAAGGATTGGCGCCGCAAATAAACAAAAATGCAAATGGCCCAGGAGTTAAAAGGGAAAAACACCAGTGGGAATCCCCCAGAGATGCCGCACAAATTGTCCGCTATCAGCCGAGGGATCGACTCTGGTGTTTCCCCGCAATAAGCGGCTCTTAATTGGGTTCCCAAGTCCCGAAAGGCACAGATTTCGACTGGATTGGAGGCCTGGAGTCTGTTCGGAAAAATCCTCGGCCAGCTTAATTAAGAAGAGCCATGAAGAATGGCTCCTGGCGAGAATGTGAGTTCACTAAGCTCATGTTAATGACAAAATAATTACATTTGTGTCCATATGATAATATAAGTTATGAAAAAGTGCTTAATTTTTGTAATTCTTTCAAGAAAAAAAGAGCAAACTATGCTCTTTTCTGTAAAACTATGTGCATATTGGCTTCCCTTTAACTGACTTTAACATTTTAATCAATCATGTGGGTTTCATCGAAAGTAAAAAACCAAGGAAAGCAACCGCCAAAGACATTTTATTTTCCGTGCATTTACCACCCGGCAATTAAACCAAACAATTACTCACAGCGTCCTGGATTGCGGGGCACTTTCAGCCACTGACAGGCTGAAAAGTGGAGTCCCTTGCGGATAAAGCCGGCGAGTTTCCCCGCTGCTTTACACATTCAATAAATAAAAGGGGGAATTTCACTTTCAGCTCAACACTTTGCCCAGAAACACTTGCACTCCTCTCGAGAGGAGTCCTTTTGGGCAGAAAGCCTTGCGCTGCGGCCTTTGTTTTTGCCGCTTTGTTGTTGGGGCCGCAAAACGCCTTAATCATGGCTCGTAAATCTTTGATGTTTCATTTGTGCCAAAACGCTAAGCGATTTTTAAAACGACTGTGGGCTGGTTAAGCCGCAGCGCCTCGGGCTGGACCATAAATTATGGGATCAGAATGCGGCAATTTCCTCCGTTACGTTACATTAGCGCTTCGGCATTCAGGAATTCAAGTCGGGGAAAATCTCTCCGAAATCTGTGGAGCTGGAGCTGCTCTGCAGTTCCCCGATCGAACTCAATTCAATTTGGCACAAAACAAAAATAGAAATGCACAATTTTTGCCTGATTTCATCTTTTCCCTTTGGCAAAGGCCAAAAAGCGCAAGGCAAGCCAAAGCAAAGCAAATCGAAGTGGAAAATGCTGCACCGAGCAGCAAATATCTAGAATAAATTGAATATAAATACGAAATCAAATGGAATGCGAATCGAGTTTCGGGACTGTCTGATTCGCAACGGTTGATTGAAAAGGATTATGGCAAGTGGTTTTCCCCGACTTCATCTCCTTGCATTGTGGTAATTCCGATCTTTGGTAAGATTGGTAATTGGCCCTCTGGGGTGAAGGTAATAAAATCGGCAACCGATTCGCCGGCGGGTGGATTTAACTGCAGCACTCGCCGTTTCAGTTGCAGGAGCTCTTCAAGTGCATTCCAATTAAGAGCGCGGGGGAACAGTGAAAGCTGCTCCATCCCCTCTAATTTTCCCGCTTTTCTCGCCCTTTCCACCCGCCCTTCCCCCGCTTTTCCTCCGCCCTTCCCCGCTTTCCCGGATGCCTGCGCTTAATGGGCAAACCGCAAGTGTCGCTTGCGCTTTTGGGGTTTTCGATTCGCAGGCGAGGCGATGAAAGTGGTGGCAGCTTAATTACGAGTGCTTGAATCGCTTTTCGAAGGGCTAAAACCAGTCGAAAGGGATTACGATTTTAGACACTATCTCCTCCAGTAAATGTATAGAATAAGTAATGAAATTTGTTCCCACACCAAGAGAGCTTTGTAGCAAACGTTGAAACATGAATGTCAAACATTACGTATACGACATGTTGAGCAAGGCGTGTATCAAACAAATGGCTTATCACTACTAGACCATGAACTTGATTTGTAGTTTTGTGGAAGCCTTAAAGGGTTCATAATTTTGGATGAACCTAAGCTTCACCCGCTTGAAAGTTATGCCTTCTTCATTATATAAACATTCTCCATTTCAGAGCCAAAGCCCAATCACGCTGCTCCTTTTTCCGTTTGTCCTGGCCAAGTATGGAAATTGTTTGCCAGCCTCGGCCTTTCAGCTTCAAACGACTGTCAAACGCAGTTGGAAGTCGAGTTGGAATGCCGCCAGTTCGTTGGCTTTTTACCAGCCTTGTAAAGTTACGCAATCGGAGGAAACTCCGGGCACAAAGTTACAATTGCAGGCGGCGACTGTGCGAGTGCAGTGGACCAAGTTGGACCAACTCTTTGACTGATTAGATGTCCACCGGGGGGACAGTTTAAAGTTCCAGCTTGTTCCGATGGCAAAAACAATGAAAAATTCATTCAAGTGCACTTTGATTTGTCGCTTTTTTCGAAGCGCAACATTTTGTAAAAGTTGACAGCAAAAATGTGGTGGCCGGCTCAATTGTCTTTTATCTGTGAAACTTCTGAAATTAAAGTGGCACATGATCCCAGCTATAAGCAATTCAAATGAGGCTAGAATAGGAGAATTTTAATTTAATTTAAGTGTCATATGAGGAATTTTTACTAAAAAGTTTTGAGGCATTTCACACTTCGCTTCTCTTCTTTGTGATAAAAATTAGTTGCGCCTTTTGCTAGTCTAAAAGTACAGGGTTGCCATCTAAGAGTAATACTCAACATCATAAAAAGCGAAACAACAATGCGGCAAATTATGCCAAAACATAAAAGTATCACTAAAAACGTACGGCCAAAAACAACAACAAAGGCTGTAAAATTCAGTCAGCAGTAAAAAGTAGTTTATTTAAGTAGCAAAGCGCGAAAAATGTGTTTTTTAAGAAGAGGGGAGGTCGTAAAGGTTCCTCCTTCGTGCGCGGTGTATTTGCATGTGTGTGGGTATGTCAGCTCCTGCATCTGTGTGTGTGTGTGTGTGTGTGCTTTTCGCTTCTGTTTGCTTATTTAAGTCGTTTGCAATTTCTGCACTTTTCTTTGCACAGTCAACGCATAAAAAATAACACAGAAATGCAGCTCCACTTGCAGAGAGAAATAAATGTATTTTTAAAGCTAATAATTTAGAAAAACATATTATAAGATTCCATATGCATTCTTTTATCGTCGTTTTTAGTATGGTTAAACATTATCTTATTTATTTGATTTATTGAAGGGAATTTTTGGCACCAGCACTCTATTTCCCTCAGTGTAGACTGCATATACGCAGTGTAGTGTCCCTATGAATTCCCTTTATAACTGACAAACTTCGGAGCAACTTTTGCAATTACTAAACTCACACATACGCATGCACTCAGACACATGGTAAATTGTACTATTTAATTTGGTTAGAGCGAGATGGCTCTGGATGAAATGGCGAGCCTTTAACGGCTGACAGCTCAGATCAAGATGGCTTCTATTTTGGGAGAGAGCTCCCCTTCTCCGCTTCCTGTGTATTGTCAATCGGAGAAAGGGGAAAAGGGAAAAAGGATAAGGGAGAGGGAAAACTGAAGGAGGAAGCACGAGCAGGTTGCCCCCTGGCGAACTGTGCCCACTAAAATGCTATTTTTCACTCTATTCGAGCGGAAGCTGAGCGACAGGAGCACGCCCAAAAAGCAGCGACGACAGGAGTATCAAGCAGCTCAACGGAAGGGAGAAAGCAGAAAGGAGAAGGGAGAAAGCATCCACGGCGGAATCAGGAGCTTCCACCGGATGTTTAGCATGCACTTGGATAAAAACAGCGATCTGGGATCCTACCCAAAAAAAAAATCAAGTAGAATGTACTCAGAGAAAGGAATTAATCCTAACCTTTTCTTCTTTAAAAAGACTTTTGTATCATTTACTTACTTAAAACATCTAAAGTTTATTTGGGTAAAATTATATCTGCAGTGTGTGTAAAAATTTCGACAATACAGTAAATGAATTCTCAATAATCCATTATTCCTTTCTGATTCAACTTTAATTTTTCCAAGTACACCAACATACTCCCACAGTCTACAGCACCGAAAACAAGGACAACAAAGTGCACACACAAGCTGTTGTGGAGGAAGGATCGGGATAATGGGGAGCCGGGACGAAAAGGAAGTCCAAACGCCGCCGAGGCGACAACAATTGTGCATTTGAATGCCGTTCGGGGCCTTCGAGCAAGACAGCATATTTCGCTGTGGGCATCAGGCATCCGACAAAAAAGTTCGAAAACAAAACTATGCCGAAACAAAAAATCCAAGAAAGCGAAGTCACACACATAAAACTGTCAACACATTCAGATCCGCTAAAGGGACTGCTGTGGTTTCCGAATTTTTCGAGTTCACTGGTGCCAAAAATTGGGGAAAATGTGACCCCAAAGAAGGATTTTTCTGCATAACGGGTGATAGAAAATAGAACTGAATCTCCTATGCAGATAATATTGCAGCTTTTGTCAGCTAATGTAAATGTAAACTCTTGGAGAATAACTGATGTTAAGAATAATTTTATAATATTATATATAATTAAGCTTGGTAAACAGCTTTAAAGTTTACTCTAATTGATCTTGTTTTAAGGCCAAAGTACTGGGCCTTTTTTCAAGACACTTTGTGGCCTAATTAATTAGGAAAGCACCTGACCAGGTCGTAAGGACGAGGCCCTAAGGACACGCACGTAGAGCACATAAAGAAATTGCAAAAGTTATTAAAAACAAACACTCGGAAGGTAAAACAAAGGAAAAAACTACGCACACGCGCCCTTTTTTATGGCCAGCCATTTGGAGGAGAATAAAACGAAGGACGCAGGACTTGCGAGGATTTACCCACGTTTTGGCCAGCGGCCAACACACACATCAATAGGATGTAATCTCTTGGAGCCACGGAGAAAGCCAGAGGATTGACAAGGGTTAAGAGGGAGTTTAGTGGGATTATGGGGCGTAAGCAGGTTGTATATTGAAAAGGGTTTGAAAACGTATTGGAATTAACTGATAAATATATTTTAAATGGTTTTAAATAATTACTATAATGAAAACGGCTTGTTATTTTAATTTTTCAATTTATTAAATTTAAAATGAACATTTAGGAGAATATTTCACACCCAATGCCATTTCATATAAGTGATTTGTTGGGGGACAGATTTAAAATGAAAAATTCAACACGACTCTGGATGGATTGCATTGCAGCTGTCTATTCCCAAACAGGAAAACCGGCAGCAGCAGCAAGAAAAGCGTCTGAAATAAAAAGCCCCAAGGTGGAAGAAGAAGCTGCGATTTTCAGCGCACATCTCAGATGCGTTCGCATCCGCCGCTCCTGAATTTCCCACAGCGACCACGCCCACCATCCACACAGCCGCCCCTCTGATGCCTGGAGCCTGCCAAGTCATGTTTGCATGACGAAGTTTTCCTCAAACCATTCGAGCTAATATTTTAAGTTGGGCGAAGCTGCCAGTGATTTGTAACCTTTGATGACTTGGCGGGTTAAGCGAACTGGGGGGAGAACAGGGGTTAAGGGCTCCCAGGGAGCCGCAGTTGGTAGCTGGAAATTAGCGCTAATCCTTGTAATTCCAACAGTATTAAGGATGGCTCTCAAGTGGTTAGAAACGGGGAGGAGCTGGAATAATTGTTAAAGTGGCTGTGCTGCCAATTTCAGTCACTTAAAGCCGCTCAATCCTTGCTTGACCTTAAGAAGGAGCAGTGTTTGGTCCTAGCAAAGGGATTTTGGGGAACGTATTGCATTATCAGTGGCACATCTCAAAACGTTTGGTATTGAACACTTCAAAGTTTCCATTAACTGACGGTCGACTTTTGGATTCCTGCTCATGTCAGAGTTTTCCAATTTTATGGTTTAAGTTCAACTATCTGAAGGCAACTTTGCAGAATTATCCAACGAAAACAACGGCAGCCAAAACATAATTCACAGATCTGTTTTTCAATCGCCTTCTGTCTTTGTCCCTCGATGAAAAACTGGAAAATGCATATGCCTCTGCCACCCTCTTTTTTCCTGTCGATGGTTTCCCAGCACATGGGACTACACACAGCAGGCTTCCAACTCGGGAGCCCATCTCCTCCTGGTCACTTCTGCACCAACAATGCGTTCAGCTTAGGGACGTTTAACTCTTGGGTTATCCGTTTTAGCACAAGGCGAATGGGCAACCAGGGTATGATGGGTTCTTTGGGGATTCAGATTTTTAAAAGGATTATATTCTGTAATATGATTCTTACTGTATACAAAATCTGTGCCTTACCAAAGTTATTCCTTCGTTACTTGGTGAAATAAGTTCATGTTCAGTGCATATCAAGTTTATATCAGTTTAAAGCCTGCAGAGGATACCAACTAGTTCAAACACCTGGTTAGGGCCCCATAAACTTGTTGGTATTCATTATTTCGGCTTGTGTTCGTTCTGGGGGCAGGTCCTTGTCAGGGATAAAGGGAGTAAGAGTGGGCTGCGTGGGTGCTGTTTGGCGTCAGCTGGTTAAACACACAAATGGTGAATGGAGTCACAAAACAGAAGGAAAACATTGTGCAACCCGAAGAACCAGAAGCGGAGAAACCCAAAAGCCACTCGCATATTTGCGCCCAACTTAAAATGGGAGTGGGTAAATCTTGGGCTCCAAGCACGTGATGGAAAACGGGGGAGTTGTTGTTCTTGTGCGGACCCTGGTCAATGTCGCCTTCAAAGTTGCCAAGTTGAACTCCGCCCTGTCCGGTCGACTCTTGGCCAGGAAAACACGAAAGTTGATCAAGAACTTTACCTCACCAAGATGGTGCAACAAAGAATTTTCCGCCCACTCCTTGGCACTCAGAAAAATAGGGGGGAATAAGCGACAAATCATAGTTTCTTAACATTTTATTTATTATGAAAATATTTTAAAATAAAACACACAAGCCAATTAGCAACTTTGATTTTCAGGTAAAAGCTTTTTAGTTGTAGCTCGATTTATAATAGAGATATTTTTCAAGTGACTTTGCCAGGGAGCCTTGATAGACAATAACTAATTTTCACCCAGCACACGTCAAAGTTGCCGGAGTCCGTTTTTAGTCTCCGTTTGAGCGGCTTGAAGTTTTTGCGACAACTTTGTGCCAGTTATGTGTATTGGCTGCAGTTTGAGAGCCACTCGCAGGATCCCTTTAGTCCTGTGCGGCTTCCGCTGCCACTCCTTGACTTCCAGGCGAAATCCCAAACTTGTGCAAATTGCATTCTTTGCAAGAAGGCGAGGTGGGTGGGCAGCTCACGTAATTAGTTGGCCAAGAGCTGGGCAAATTAAACTGAGAGCGGACCTCAAAGTAGTAGGAGTTTCGGGTTTTTAAACCATTATTTGAAATTATTATTTCTAAAAAAATGGCTTTAAAATTCGTATACATTAATAACCATAAATATTATTGAGAGCCTCTCTTCCACGCCATTAATTTCTAATAATAAAGGCAATAAAGCAGAATTTAATACCAAAGTGACCCCTGATTTCCCGGAATTTCCCAGGCAACAGTTCGGGCCAAAGGTCAGAGACACCGAAATCCCGGTTTAAACCTCTGCGAGTCACATTTACAAGTTCGGAGGTCCGTCCCCCCGGCCACCCATCCATCAGGCACCTCAAAGCCGCCTTGGCCGCCCTTCAATCATGTTTGGTCCTTGTTCGAACGCCTGCTGACAGCTCGCCCGCAAATTTCATTCAATTTGCAAAAACACAAAACCGACACCGAAACTGAAACTGAAACTGAGCCCAGAACGGTTTCAATCTCGAAAAGAGGAGTGTGGAGTGTGGGCGGGGTCAAATTGATGAACATGACCCAACTTTGGTCGCTCTTCGCTACTTTTTGCACCGAAACAAAGGAAGAAAAGCAAACATTTTCATGTTTTTCAAAGTCTTCAATCAAAATGCGTCGGCAAAGTTTTAATGCATGCGCGCTGCCTCTCCTGTTTAGCTCTAAAAATAAGAAAAAAACACAAACTATGCAGGAGGAAGTTTTTAAGTGACGAAACAGGAGGCGTGGCAGGCTGGCTCCTGCCGCACGGTTTGATAAATGATGTGTCGAAAATAAATGATTATGCTTTCAGGGGGACCCCACAAAAGTTTTTGTTTTACATTTTGCCACCTTCCTACTTCCTTCTTACTCTGCTCTAATTTCCTCTTATTTTAAGCTGTTCTCTCCGCAAAAGTTCATGTTGCTTAAGTTCATCTATTTGCATGCCTCATTTGCCATATTGATTTTGTTTATTTTTTTTCTTCTCGCTTTCCTCTCCAGATTTGTTTGTCCTGGCTGAAATGGTGAAAGGTGGTCGGGGATAATGTACATTTGTTTCCATCAAATTCGGCTTAAGATTTACATTTTTGTTTTGGTAATTTGGGGATGAAAAATTAGGATTAAATGGAGTAAAGAGAATTCGCCATGAAAACACGGGAAAAGTCTTTAAAGACTACTACAGAAAACAGCTGAAAACGAAGAGAAACATTAGCCCCATAAATGTTTTAACATTTGAAAAAACATTGCATTTGTACTTGTGTAAACAATTTTTACTGGACCGAGGGTCAACGCTATTAATAAGAAATTTGTAACACAGGTTAGGTCATCGCTTTTCTCCTCTACTCTGCCGCCCGTTCCTTGGTGACCTCCCCACCGGTCGCTGGAACATTGGGCTTGTCTCCGGATCCTTCGGCAGTGGCCACCAGAGAAACGGACGAAGTCGATGGACGCAGCACCACGCTGCTGTCGCTGCTCTCACTGCTCGAGTCGCCCACATTTAAATCGGTGTTCAGGGACTCGGCGGGCGGAGGTTGAGTCACGGCGACGGGAACCGGTGGCACCAGAGTGGGAGTCCCAATGCAGATGCGTTTGGAGGGCGGCGGAGCCACATGACCCAGTCGGGCATTAGAGATTGTTGTGCCGGGGGAGACGGTCTCGAAGGCCATCAGTTCCCCGAAGTAGACGTGCTGGATCACAGGAAACTTGGACAGTATCTGTGGGAGGTAGCCGAAAAGATAGTTATACATTTTTCATATTTCCACTTTGAGAATGTTCTTGCCTCCTTCTGGTACATTTTCACCAGTCCTGCATTAATCTTAACCCATGATGGCACATCCGTGATGCTCCACAGTTGATTGGAGTGTTCGCCGAAATGTCCAGTCTTCACCTTGCAGATGTAGTCGATGCAGCTGATGAACATAAACTGATCCTTGTAGTCACTTATGATCTGTTCGTCCACGAACTTGGAGGGATCAAACGGGCTTTTGACTGAAAGGAGGACATATTGTAGGAGGAGAGTCTCTAGGGAAAGTAAGTGCATGACTCACCAGCTAGCTGTGCACTACCCCAGATAAAGGGCACAAACTGAAAGTCATCCAGGGACCAGACTCCTTGGCTACCAGCGGGTTCCATGTTGTAGGTGCGTTGCAGCTGCCTCACGAACTCCAAATATCGATTGAAGAGCCTCAAGGCGGCACTGACAATGTCCTGTTCCTGCAGGATCTCGGCCTTGAAGAGCGAGCACAGGAAGAATAGGAAGGACAACTCGTGACCGGTTCCGTAATCAATCCTGGTGGCGTTGCCAAAGGACTCCATCAAGTACTGTTCCAGTTCACCCAGATACCTTTTCTTTTCGGCGGGCACCAACTGCTCCAGTAGTTCCGGCAGCTGTTCCCTCATTTCCTGGGCCCAATCCCTGTAGGACTTGTTGCCAAACCGCTGAGGTTGCTCCAATGGAGGATGCTGCTCCACCAACCTTTCTAAGGAGTCGAAGAGACCCACCAGTTTCTTCAGCATTTCCGACTCGTACACCTCGTCCGTGGTCTTGATCCCCTGGATCGCCGAGCTGGTGCCATTTATGTAGCCAATCAAGTCGTGGTAGGCGCGAGATCTTTGCCAAGCTCCTAAATCGCCTAGATTCTGCACCCTCTTCGCAATCGGCGGCAGTTTACCTGAAGCAAGCGTTTATCAATCTCTTTGGAATTCCTTGTCAATTCAATAACCATTACCTGCTGCATCTGCCATGCTTGTATAATTGTTATTTCACTTGAATTTTAAGTTATTTTGTTCGTTTTGTTTGTTATTTTGGCTGCATCTTCTTCTTTTCTGTAGAGTTCGATGAGGGATGAAGATACAAACGAGTACTCAATAGTGGCATCACTAAGTGTGACCGTTTACAAAAGACACTTGTGGTGCTTTCACCACGTATGCTATATTTGCGGCCAAAAGACTGATAGAATTTCTTATTGGTGTAATAATAAGGTCACCAAAAATTAATTCATGTACATATCTAGGAAAAATTATAAAGGTATAATTTTGGATGTGTGGTGGGTAGTGGAGTTGCGCTATTTAAGCACGGTCTATCGTATTCTTTTCCAGCTTACCATCCCTATCCGATACATGACAACAAACTACGCCTACGCCGGCAAAATTAAGCGACACCGCCACGGAAATAGAAAATAACACATTCCTTTGAAAAATCAAGCTTTTAACTATTTACTAATCATGATCGAGACACTGTACAACCTGCCCTTTCATATCCTGGTGCCACCAAACATCAAAGTACGGAGATTTAGCATTCCAATGCCTTCGCCAATGGCTGTATTCAGTGTAATTTTGTTTTCCTATTTTCTGGTGACAGGAGGTAGGTTATTTAAAAAAATTACTTAATAACAGTTCAATTATTAAATTACCCAATTAGCTTTATATGTGTATAATTTGCAAATAAGTAAAAACCTTTAAAAACTTGTCTGCTGAGATTTGACACAGCTGTGTTCACAAAAATAGTTTAACATGGCTTAACTTATTAGTCAATCACTTTATAAACACTTTCCAACCCTAAATTCATACCAATTCTGCAAATCACAAACATATTAAATAATGCTTATTTTTTCGGCAGGTATCATCTACGACGTGATTGTGGAGCCACCAAGTGTGGGAGCCACTGTGGATGAGCATGGGCACTCGCGTCCAGTTGCATTTATGCCTTATCGCGTGAACGGTCAATACATCATGGAGGGATTAGCTAGCAGCTTCCTGTTCACAGTCGGCGGACTGGGATTCATCATCATGGATCAAACGCACTCTCCGGGAAAGACGAACCTCAACCGCCTGTTGCTGACCGCCATGGGGTTCATTTTCATCCTGGTCTCCTTCTTCACCACCTGGCTTTTTATGCGCATGAAGCTGCCCAGCTACCTGCAGCCCTAGAATCTCTACTAAAGTGGACAAGGAACTCTCTCTAAAAACAGAATATTGCAAAATCAACTGTTTTCATAAATATTTCCAGTCTCAAATCACTTTAAGTGGAAGGAAAATAATCAAAGGCATTCCTAAAACTGTTTATGAAATTGGTCTACATATTGTAAACAAAAATATGCAGATGCAGTACCTCCTTGTGCACTGAAAGTAATTTTAACGATCCAGTTTCAGGAAACCCATTGATTTCTCACCATTCCAATCATGTCAAATAAACAATATATTTATATGTAAAAGTATTTAAATGTATTAAAAAATGTACCAATCTCTAGATGAAAAGTTCTTAAGTTTTTATTGTTGGAAGCCTCACTGTGCATCTTTGGGGTCCTCAAACGTGTCGCCAAAGTGAGCATATTAAACCGCGGGAAAACAAACTTTTTGGCGTCCCATGGTTCTCATTTTAGTTTACGTCGCGCTGTTGGCTCGTTTGGATCGCTTTTCTTGCCCGCGGCGAGCAAAGACGATTTCCTTCGCCTATATAATTTTAGAATCTATTTCTGGTTATAAATATAAAGTACCTCCGTATATGTGCGCATCCTAAACTGAAAATTGCTAAATAGTTACCAGAAAAAGTGGAGAAAACTCTACGTTTTAACCAAGGAGCAGAACCAACACAGAATCCAAACAATTTTTCCCAGTTCTCCAAGTGATGTAACCTCGAGAAATACGAATCCTCTCCTACTCTCTTCTCTTAAGCGATTTGCGTCGCATTTTGTTTACTTCTTGTGCGAAACCAAAACAGAGAAATGTCGAAAAAGTGCAGTGTGCGATCGCTGAGCGACAGTGCCCTGGCGGAATTGGCCAACTTGTTGGTCTCCACCATTAGTTACGCCCAATATGCCCCGGACGTGCATCTGGATATCAACATCGTGATGGTGGAGCTGAACGAATATCTGGCCCACTTGGGAGCCACCCCGAATATATACCAGGATCTGCTGAGGGTAATCCTCAGCTCGGATTACCTGGACGCCAACATGCGGTTCACCTGCTTGCAGATGCTGCTCAACTGTGGGGTCACTTTTCTGATGACCGAGGTGTTCCCCTTTAGTTACTACGAGAAGATTCTACAGGTAATCCCTGAAATAAAATGTTAACTTCCTCTTCTAAACTAATTTTCTATTCCAGGTGATTGCAGCCCAAGGAGCAGGACTGCGGGTGCTGAACATCAAGGGAATCTGGGTGAAGGAGGAGCACATGCACTACATGTACGACATCGTGAAGCGTTGCAAGCAGCTGGTCAAGCTGTATGTGCCCTATATAGCCAACGATCGGTTGCTGGAGGAGATCGGGAAGTGCTGCACTCGCCTGCAGATCCTAGACATTTCCGGCGAGACTGACATCACCGAGATTGGCATCGATTTCCTGGCCAAGGGCGTGTGCTCACAATCACTGACTGTGGTGGATGTGGGAATGCCCGGCGAGGAGAACATCTGCTACTCGGACATTGCCTTGATTCTGGAGCACTGTCCCCAAGTGGAGACCCTATCCACTTACTCCTTTGTCGGAGCCTCCCTAAAGTTTATCCATGACAATATTGACGATCGGTTCAAGTGCCGCTTGAAATATATCCACGATACGAGCACAGATGAGGCCACCTTGCAAGTGATCATGCAAACTTGTCCGAGACTGGAAAACCTCTATCTGGACTCCCCGAAGACTGGAAGCCTCCGGGCTCTTCACACGCGTAATTTGAGGAAGCTGAAAATCTACAAGTTCGTGGTGGCCGAGCTACTTCCTCTGCTGGAACGACCAATTGGCAGAAACCTTCGTCATCTCACGATGATCAAGGGCTTGGGCAACCTCGAGCTGGGAAAGCTGGCTCGCCTTTGTCCTTCGCTGATCGATCTTGACTGCTATATGATCGATAGTCTGTCCTACGGCCAAGGACACGCCAAGTTTCAGCAGCTGGAGGGCCTGGAGATCCTGAGCAGCTCTATCTTGACTAGTTCACTGAAGGCCTTCCTCTGCAACTCCACGGATCTCAAGCGGTTGGCCGTGGATACAGTAGAGTTTACGGACGAGGATCTAATAAGGTAGGAAATGGATTAACACACATTACAACTGTTTTAAGCATATGTACATATATTTTGTAGTATGTTCATGCAGCATAACTTTAGCGTTCTGGAGGATGTTTGGTTTACTTTGGCGCCAGAGCTCACAGTACAGTCTGTGGAGGTAAACCTATAATTAATAGACCTTTTTGTTAACTAAGACATAAATGAAAATCTTAATTTTCAGTTACTAATGGACTGCTGCCCTGAACTGCAGTCCGTGGGTCAATTAACCGGCTGGTCCTTGACACCTGATGATTTGGCTCTGATCCGGGGACTTCTAAAAAGCGGCAATTCGAGCATTGTACTGACACCAAACGGTTTTCTAGCTTGAGTATTATTAAGACTTGCTTTACTAAACATAACCATACGTATTTATTTGAGCTTATATTAAATAGTGTTTTATTTCAAAAGTAAATAATAATTTAAAATTTTTCTTTCCAGCGCCTTCAATAGCTCTGACGCTGCTGTCCCTTCCCAGTCAAGACGAGATAACTTTGTTGTGAACATATCAAGTGTTGTGTATTCTTATTTGCTTGTGATATTATAAAAATAAAGCTGTTTAAACTTAAATTTCAATTTGAATGGAAATAAGTGTGACCAGTTAAGAGCAAAGAGTTGGCAGCCCCGAACAGCTGTGCTTAAGGTTGCGATATCTATCGCATATTAATATCTTTCGAGTTGCCATGGTGTCGACCATTTTCCGTAATTTATATACACACTTTATTCACTGAAAAAGAACAAGGGGGAGTAAATTAAACACAGACGCTGAAAAACAAGCTTATTATCCGCTCTTGAAAAGCCAAACTGCGAAAAATCTCTCCGTTTTTTGAAGCGGCGTCTGGTATTTGGCACACTTAGCAACCCTGCTAACGATGTATACTTTTTATGCGCAAAAAAGTGAAGAAATCGCACTGTGGGCAGCAGAAACGCCTGAATTTACAGATGAATCTCATTTGCAAGTAACCAAAACCCGCATTTAAACGCGCAGAAACGGTAGCTCCGTGAAAAACCGAATGAAGCAGTGATTTTAGTTAGTTATGTGAGCCAGAAAACCAGAGAAAAAGCAACTTCCGCAGACGTCAGCAAGTGCCACATAAAGAAGTAGTTGGAATAAACAAATAGGCAGGGGTGATTTGATAAACAAAACCAAAGGAAATCACACAGCACAGGGACAGGAAACAGGAGCGGCAGGGTGTGTGCCGTGTGGTCATGCATTTTGTCACACAGCAGCGGGCACAACAGCAGCACCACAAGTCCTCCTCCTCTTCGAGTTCCTCGCTGGCCTCGTGTTCCGGATCTGGATCGGGACTGGGATCAGGATCGGGATTTGGATCTGGATCTGGTTCGGGATCAGGATCGGGACTAGGATCCTCCTCCCGCTTCGGGGTCCTGCGCAAGTCCTCCAGCCAGGGTGCTCTGCCCAAGTCCTTGGCCACCGCCCACAGCTTCTTCCATCGTCCTTCGTCCTCGCAAAGCAAGCACAAACGCACGGCCAGTCTAAATGTTACGCCCATGTGAGTTGCCACGCCCCGATAGCCCACTAACCAACATATTAATCCAAAATCTAAGGTCTTATTCTTTTACACGAAAAGAAATTAGATGAAAGGAAGGTTTGCTCTTAGTTGTGGATTATCGTAGATTTATTTTATGCGTTGTAATTATGACATTTTGTTTGTAATAAATGTTTTTTTTTTTTGTTGTAAACAAGTTCTGGATTCATTATATGATTCATTTTATGTTGACAAGTTTAATCAGACGATTAAGCCCACCATGCCGTGAAGTAAAACTAAAGGTTATCATTTTATTTTAATTTCTGACTCTTTAAAGACGACCTCGAGCATACGAACCACCCTTGATCTGATTTCTTTCTGTGTGCAAGAAACATAAGAGTTAAGCGTGTTAATTTGTGGTGTAGGTTGCCCGCTGGTTTGCATGTCTAACCCGTTGCTAGTCATATTGCATGTCGTTATAAGCCCCTCTTTGTTCCTTTCAGTTTTGGCTTATCTACCCGCTAACCCCCTCCCAAGTGCGCCCCGTGTTCAGCGGAGTGATAATACGGGTTGCCCCAGACTAATTGCCCCACACCTCTTACTTCTTGCATTTTGATAGCGTTTGCCATTATTGCGCAACAGTTTCCTCGTCGTACAGGGCGTTTCGTCGCTGTAAGGCGCTGTAGGATATCGATTTTGTGGAAACTGAGGCAGGGGAACAACAGAGCCAGTGAACAAACAACTGCTTTCTTTACTTTAGTAAGTCAGCGAATGTGTCTGGGTTATCGTCGCACTGAACTGGTTATCTGTTAATTTAGTGAATGAATTCAAAATAAAGAAAAAGTATGGTTACCTAAATTAATAGATAACAGGTCAACAATACCATATTCAAATAGCAAGTGCAAGTTCCTTACGTTCTTGAGAGTTTATCGCCTTTGGGGAGTTGTAAGTGGAACCACTCGTAAAACTATGAGTTCTTCTATAAAAAAAAAGAAAAGTTCGCTAGCTCCAACATAATACTATAACAAAAGAATTCATTCACCTTTATTTTTGGGATTTCATTGTGTTTTATTTACTAGCACTGAGCAAAAGTTCACAGGTTAAACGAAATTCACAGTTTAATTAGTTGCGGTTAAAAAATGCGATCATTTGAGCTAGTTTTAGCACAATGCCCCATTTAGCAAGCCCGATAAAATAGTTACATTTAACACTCCCATTTGGGCATTAATTGAACCATTTTCAAGGATTTCCACACTTTACAGCTCTTGCGAGCGGTTAATGGTCCCACCCACCCACTGTAATTATATATGCCAACAAAATATACAATCTATGTCTTGTGCACCCAAGCGTTCTCCACGTAAACCACAAAAATAAAAACATTTTCGATTAGCCTTGGCTGGTGTCTGTTCGCATTTGTATATTTGGAATCCCCAGTAGGAGGCAATCCACTCGAATGTGCATTTGCATAGCCTCCGGTGGGAAGTTAGTGCCTTTTCCTTTGGGCTCTCTGCTTTCTGCGAAGTTATAGGGTCCGTAAATAAGCCCGTAAATAATGCGGCTAGTGTATGCAGAGGTCTCCTATCTCGCGGTCCGATTTTCCAACCCCAAACCAAACAAACGGGGGGATTGCCATTATTCTCGCGGCGGCTGCTCTTGAGTGCAAATCGGAACGTCGAGCTGGGATGACGTGCCCGGCACGAGCTCCCACTTTTCGAACGAGAATCGGTCTCTGTGTTCCTTCTGAAATTCCCATATCTCGCCATCGCGTGCCTTAAACAACCAAACAAACAAACAACTAGACAAACAAATGACAATCAACAAAGAGAACAAAACGGCGGCTCTGAACACGGAAAATTAATTAAATAATTAACAGCAAAACGGTGGGGATGTGTGTGGGATAGTTCATAAATTAATGACATTTCGCCGAGCGGTGCTAAAAATAAGAATAATTTTGCCGTGTTTACGTTTCGTCATCACATTTTCGCGCTGGCAGAGACCAGACTCTGCCACTTTTGGCCACTTTTTTTGTCGGTTCCCCATTGCTCGTTCTTCAGCGATGACATAGATTTCGGTTGAGCAATACAGAACTGCCAACCAATGCCGAAGGAGGAAATAAAGAAGCCGCCGAGGAAAACACTGAATGTGGAACCAAAGAAAGCCAAGCGAAAGAAAATGTAATACTTTTTCGCTCTTCACTATTGATTTTTCTCCGAGTTTAAGTAGTTTAGAGGTTTCGATGTTTCGATGTTGGTAGTACAACAATTGCGAGCTCTGGACGGAGTGCTATTCTTGGGCGGCTAATGCGGTAGTTAGTTTTATGGCCAGTGGCCTTTCATGTCGGAAATGCATTCGGATTCCGGCTCCCATGACTAATAGAGCACTTTGCGACCCCAAAGGCCAGAGTTCAAGGGGGGAAGTATCTATTATTCAAGCCGCCAGACGGTGCAATTTCATTCGTAATGATAACTTGCCGTATGTACAAATAATTGATACACAGTATATCAGCAATTGCGTACAATTCAGAACAAGATTTCCCATTGATAACTTCTCATACACAATTGCAATGGGGTTTCGCAAAATTCTGATCACACATTTAAAAACAAACAAAGGAAAATGGGCCATAACTTTAGTCAGACAGTTTAGGTCACGAATTTTTGAAAACAAAAACGATTATGCATATATAAAATAGAAATTGCTGGAAACGATTGTTGTGTTTTCAGATAAATACTGATTGTTGTGCTAAAACTATAAATAAAAACCCATTTCTCCGACGAGAACCTTCTGACTTGCCCTCCCCCAAAAATGCCTAGTAAATTATCTTTCCTAATTAACCAAAATGACGTTTGTTGGGTCTATAAATAGCATTGAATCACGAGCGTTTTATCTCGTATGTTTCGCAGAATTTATTCTGCAGACCAGTAAGACGTCAATTTAGGGGAAGCATCATAGTTGTTTCCTGGCGTTGCGAAAATATATATGTATAAGTCTTATTGTAATGATCAAGTGTATCGAATGCTTATTTCATATATTGGAACTTCGCAAAACTGGAAACCATTGACAAAGTACTTTGTTATTTCGAGTGTTATCTCAGATCGCCGTCGCAACCTCTGAACTCCCCATAAGCACATGATATAAATTCTATATACAAATTATAAGCCATTACATTATCTCTGATCTTTCACACATCCGAGCTGGCTCTCGGCAATTATAAATACGTACTCGTTTAATGAGGGCGAATCGTCGTTTAATGGTGTTCACTCCTCTCGATTCTGTTTACGAGTGCTTTCCATCCCAGCAAGATTGTATTTTCATGAACTTGAACTGCACTGCACTGATAAGAGTGTTTGAGCTGATCTCCGCAATCCCTTGGGGGTCGATCTTTGATAAGCGAGAGGAGCGGAAACCAGTGTTTGTATTTGCATTGGCTTCTGTTGAATGTGGAAACATTTCCGAACACAAAGACCCCTATGTCCTTGATGCAAGTCCCTTGATTAGGCTGATTAGTTCGTTGAAGTACACTTGTATTACATCGGCTTTTCGGGTGCTCGGGAACTCAAAGAGCTTTAAAAACAGTAAAAACTATTGTGTCATGGCTTAATTTGCATATTTAACACTTTATATATTCCGAGTGCAGGCGCTCTTTAATTTACATATGTTTGGCTTAAAATAGAGCGAGTTTCGCTGCTTTTTCAGGCTCAACAAAGATTAAGGAACTGGGTTAAATCGGCCAGCCTTTATTGTTTGAACAAATCCGCTCGAGTAGAGCCTTTCCCTGATCACTTAACGCTCGCCCAAAGCTCAGTGCTGGGAGTATCTTATCGTTCTTATCAGTGCCAAACAGATTGCTGCTAGTGTGGGAATACATATATTAGAAAAATAATAACAATTGTGTGGCACAGCACACACAACACACACACGCCCACTCGCGAGTGGAAGAGTAGTGCACAATGGAATTGATTACAATCGTTTAATGGCAATTGGTACACCATTCCGTCGCAGCCCACGGAGGCGAGAGCACGTCTAATTGAAAACAACATATATAGTAGAGTAATCGCGTCGGAAAATGCTGCGGCGAACGTTGCGAAAAAGTCGGAAACACCGGGTTCTCTGGTATGGAAGGAAAGATCTATCCGGGGCCTGGGAACAATTCGATCTATTTGTGCGTGCGACTGATTGTGGGCTATCGCCGAAGCGAACAATTAGCGGAAATTAGTTTTGAGAGAAATTACTTAAGCCAGCGATCAGTTAAGGCCACAAATGTTTGCCTAACAAGTCAATTGGCGGTGGTCGATAGGACCATCAACCCATCAGCCATCTGGGGCTTCCTTATCGAGGCCGATGACTAATGGAGTAGATTGTGTTGCTGAAACATTAATGGCTCTTTGTTAATTGCCAGGAGCAACTGCTATTGGACTTTTGAAAGTGGTTTATAGTTGCCATATATCAAGGCACTCAATAATCCATTAAGTTTCCTGGAAAATGTCAATAAAATAACAACAATTGAAAAGCTTTGCTGGCAACTTTTAGTGGTTCAATGAAAAGTTTTTTATTAAGGACTTTATAAAGACAAAGGACTTATCTAATCCGTGCACCTGTGAGAGAAAAGTTAACCTTTATCAATTTTAAATAATGAGTTATGAAGTGAAGTGGTGCCACCTGTGGTCTTTTCTTTATCTGACTTACTTGGAATGAATGCCTATTAAACAGCCATCTAGTAGCTATGCGATTTAAAGAGATTTAAAGAGGTTTTATACATATATTTTTAATGGAACAATGTAACTGGTTACGCAGTAGTAATAAAATATTATATTTCATTGGGACGATTGCTCTGAATTGTTACTCTTAAGTAGCTCGAATTTCATTGTACTTAATTGTTGTGGTCATATTCAGGTCTGTAGATATTTAATCCCCAAAATCCTTTTCCTCTGGTTTTTAAGTCCTCAAGTATTTCGTTGTACAAGATTTAGTTGCTCCTGCTGTTATCTCGTCTTGGGCATGTGTTTTGATTTGGCATTGTTATTTTGATTTGTTTATATATGCATTTTATTGTAGGATTAAAGATAGTGAAAAAAACAACCCAACAACATCCAGTGTAACCATAAGCGCCGCGACTGCCGAAAGTCCGAGCGGTAGTCAGACCCCTGCCAATGCCAACATGATACCCGAGACCACCCAGCCCGATCAGCTCCAGCTCCAGTCACAGTCACAGTCACAGTTACAGACACAGACACAATCCCAGCTCCAGTCACAGTCACAGTCACAGTTTCAATCGCAATCGCAATCGCCGTCACAGGATAATCCCGATGACAGCCAGCAGCCATCGCAGCCGAAGGAGGAGGAGCAGGCGGAGGCGGCGGCTGGTAGCAGTGGTGGCGACAGGTAGGTGGGATCAGTGCTCCGGAAACTCTCCAGCCAGGCGATGGTCCAATTCCGTAAGAGAATTCACCCGTACTTCCAAATTTGCATGCCTAGTTCAAGAGTTTTTCCATTTAATCGCTATAGTTGTAGTTGGAGTGCCATCCAGTTGAGTCCTTGCTAAATACTCTTTCTCTGCCATTGCAGGCGCGATTCGATCACCGAGGAGATCACGATCACGAGCACCACAACAAATAGTAGTCTGAGCACCAAACTCCTGACCATCCAGGAAGCTGCCGGCAGCCTCGAGCAGAGCAGCGTCTCCATATCGACGTCCTCCAGACAGAGTGCTTCCCCTCCAGCCGGCGAATCGCCATCAGCCGGCGCGGCTCCAGGTGCCAACGAGTCCTCCGGCAGCAACCTCAGCTTGACCCAGGCCGGCGCTTCCTCGAGTCCTCCTGGCCCAAGCTCAACTGCCGCTCCGGGAGCCACTCCCAGCATAAACATCGTGTCCAGCGAGTCGAGCAAGGATCAGCCACAGCAGCCGCAGAGCGTCGACTCCAACGGCTTCATCGCTCCTGGCGGCCAGTCGGACAGTCCCGGCAGCCGGAAGAGCTCCACCAGTTCCAAGGGAAAGACCCAGGCGAAGCTATCCACATCCAGCAGCGGACGCGATGAGGTAAGTGGTGAGGATAGTCAGCAGATGGGATAAAGGAATAACTAAGAATTGGAGTTCCTATCTGCTTGTGCCGATCTAAACACTTATCGTAAAAGCACCTATTGAAATTTACCTCCAAAGTGGGAATGACTCAGGTTTCAACAAATATTTCTGCATCACGTTTTTGACCACCGACTAATGTCGCATTTTTTCGAACATATTATCTTTCAAAGTTTTGCTGAACGAGCAAGAACAGTTTTTTTTTTACCTGTGAGCATGACGTTTAGAAAATTGTTCATCCAACGAATACTAATCAAATGCATTAGACCTATTTCGTCATATTTGCGTTTATTGTGTTCACCAGTCTACAGTTTTTTATCATTTGCATAAATTTAAATAATCACGTCACTCTGAAGGTAGTTAATTTGCTTTCGCATTAACCTTTTTATGAACCCAAATTAAAATAGGCTTGAGCAAAGTGGGGAGTGACTTTGAATGTAAAAGTTTTTTTATTTTTAAAACTGATAAGACAATACAGTTTAACAGCTTTCTTCTATCTGTAAATTTAAAGGGGTGTACATATTTAATTATAGTTTATCAACTGAGAATTCTGCCTATTCAAAATGTAAATTTAAATGTACTGAAGCTGATAGCCCAAAAAGTTGTATAGATTGTTTTTAAGCTGAACGCATGTTGACTTGCTCTAAATTTTAGTGGTTTCGCAACCAAAATATTTTCAAGTTCACATTGGTAGATTCCAACGTGATTTCATATCTTTATGGGTAGAAGGGCAAGCCACAACTATTTCCGTTTTTGTTCGAGTTGTGAGGAAAAGCTTGGCAAGCTTTCCAAACTCGCATGCAAACCATCTGATGATGTTAGCCATTAGGCACAACACACACCCCGAAAAAGGTGTGAAACAGCCGCAGCGCAGCTAAGTGTACAAATCAAATTAAACACACTCGAGCGGACGATCAATCGATCAGGCGATTGACAGATAGAAAGCCAGTTGGGATGGATAGCCAGATGGGTGGACAGAGAGAGAGACAGACAGACTTGGGGATGGGGATTAATAGCCGCATATTGGCCATCTACCAGTTCAATCTAATCTCTGGCTGATAAGCAGCATGTGTGGGCAAACGCCTACCCTCTCACCTCGCAGATTAGAATCACCCTTCGGCGCGAAAGCTCGCGACATAAATTTTTTGGGCCCAAGCTTTTTCTTTTTGCTGGCCAGCCAACAGTAGTGATAACGCTTCGTGAGCGGAGCAGCTCCTCCGCCGAACGTCAATGGCAAATTAGATTTCAATAAGCGACGAAGCGTCTCGGCGACCAAATGCGAATAAAAAAGAACAACACAAACTTATAACGCGGGCACTGCAGCGAACTTTGTGTAAATAATTGGGGGTCGTAAACGAACGACAAGCGTGAGGTGTGATAAGAAGTAACACCAAACACCTGGCCGAAGAGACTTTCCTGCGAAGGGGCGTGAGTCACCCCGAAAAAGAGTTAACAAACAGAGTGACGGTACGATCGAACAGGTGGCCCAAAAGCCAAGAGCCAAAGGGAAAAAACAACGGTATTGATATTCAGCTGCCTGGTGCTATAATAGTTAGAGCCACAATGTTTGCTCACGCCACCGCAGCCCGCAGCAAATGGACATCCTCATGGTGTTTGATCAGCTCTCCCTCTCGCTTGTCTCCCAGCAGGACATCTCGCACCACCGCCTGAGCGATCTCACCCAGCACGAGCTGAGCCTGCTGCGCGTCGACCGGGAGCAGCAGGTGACCAGCAGCAGCTCCACCTCCAACGAGAAGCCGGCCAAGCCCTCCCGGCTCTCGGAGCGGGCCAAGAAGAAGTCCTGGTACAACGTCATCTACCCCAACTACAAGTCGCGGGCCGAGGACTTCAAGAAGCTCTTCAAGGACGTGCCGAACGATGAGCGCCTGATTGTGGGTGAGTACCTCGAGTCGATCCAGCCGGGGAGCAGTCCAAAAACGATTCCACTTTGCTTTCCTCATTCTTATTAAATTTTAAATGTTGATATCATTAAACATTCATTTTACTGTACAATAAGCAACGAAGTGTGACTTATGGGAAACTAACTGCTTATCGTGCAATAAAATAATACATAATGTATCATCATAAGAAAGCTTAAAGAATTTTTTGGAAATAAAACTAAAGTTGAAACCTCGTGTTAGTTGCTGATTTTTTAAAGCAATCCTGAAGTAAGTGACTGACAACTGCCCTGAAGTAAATGAACTAAGAAGTGTAATCATCAATTAACACCGCCGGCTATTGTAGTAAAACCCAATTGAAGCAATTAACTCGAGCGATTATCTCCTTCCGCAGACTACTCGTGTGCCCTGCAGCGCGACATTCTGGTCCAGGGCCGCCTGTACGTGTCGCAGAACTACGTCTGCTTCCACGCGAACATCTTCAGCTGGGAGACGTACCTGAGCATCAAGTGGAAGGATGTGACGGCGATAACCAAGGAGAAGACTGCGCTGGTGATACCCAACGCCATATCGATAGCCAGCGGCAAGGACAAGTACTTCTTTGCCACGTTCACCTCGCGCGACAAGAGCTTCTTGATGCTCTTCCGCGTCTGGCAGAACACGCTGATGAACAAGCAGTTCTCGCCCCAGGAGATTTGGAAGCATGTGCACACCTGCTACGGCGAAGAGCTCGGCCTGACCACCGACGACGAGGACTACATCGACCCCACGCTGGACAACGACAACGAGACGGACTTTGACTTCCAGACGGCGATCGATGACGATAGCCAGTCGCAGCGGCAGTCGCAGCAGTCGAACCAGTCCACCCAGTCGAACCCCCCGCTCCCGCAGAGCGGCAACAGCAGCGCCAGCAGCGGCGGCGGCGTCCGAGCCTCGGCTCCCCGCAAGTCCAAGACGAAATACTTCTTCAACTCGTCGAAGTCCTCGGCCAACGCCTCGGCCAGCGGATCGGACAACAACAAGACGCGCGAGAGCTCGCGCAAGCTGAACAAGAAGATGAAGCAGAACGCCAAGGAGCTGACGCTCAGCTCGGTGAAGCCCACGGAGCTGTCGGTCAGCGTCACCATGAGCGCTCCCGCCGCGAGCAGCAGCAGCACGGCCGGCTCCACCACGGCCTCCTCCTCCACCATTGTGAACCACGCGGGCTCTGGCTCCGGATCGGGATCCATGTCGGGCTCGAACACGGCTGCAGCCAGCGGCAGTGGCAGCGAGAAGAAGGCCGCCGAGAAGAAGGTCAGCACGGGCTCCAATTCGGCGGCATTGGCAGCCGTTTCATCGCTGACCACTGCCACATCGGGAACTCCGTCCGCGGAGTCCAAGATTGAAGCCAAGCGCAAGCTGGGAAAAATGCATCGCCAACGCGAGGACGGCATCAACGCCGCCGAGAGTGTGCCCACAGATGTCTCCGACTCGTCGGATTCCGAGGAGAACAATCTGCCGTAAGTGGTTGCAATTATTACATACCTATTTAAAGGAACTGACTTTATTTCTTATTTATAACCATCTAGATTTGTGCCCACCACGGAGTGCACGTCGACGCACGAGGGCCGCCAGATCGTCCACACCATTTTGCCCATCAACGTGGACACGTTGTTCAATCTGCTGTTCAGCAAGTCGAAGTTCATCACCGACTTCCACGCCATGCGCAAGTCCACGGACCTGGTGCTCGGCGAGTGGACCAAGAACGAGGAGGGTCTGCAGGTGCGCACGGTGAACGTCACCGTTCAATTGGCCGCCTCCGTGGGGCCCAAGACCTCAAAGGTGAGTGTGTGCATAGCGCCCCTAAATGGGCAGTCAAATGAATGTATGGGTTCCCCTTAGGTAACCGAGTACCAGACGCAGCGGGAGTGCAGCAAGCCGGGCGAACTGTATTCCATAGACGTAAATAGTGTTAATGCAGGCATTCCATACGCGGACAGTTTCAGTGTGCTCATACACTTCTGCCTGGCCAGGTGAGTCATGCAGCTGCACCCGGCGGGTGCCGACGACAAGTTCTTTGATTAGCAATCACCGCCTGCACTTGCACTCGCAATTGCTCCTCGTGAACCCTTCTAATTGGCCTCTCGATCCCGCTACGTTTCGCAGAACTGTCGATGATCACACCATGCTGTCAATTCACACCCAGATCAAGTACAAGAAGTCGATCTGGGGCGTTGTGAAGGGCTTCATCGAGAAGAACACGTGGGCGGGACTGGAGGACTTCTTCGGCGCCCAGCTGCACGCACTTCAGAGCGAGACCTGCATTCCGCCGGCGAAGGGAAAGGGCCGCCGGCCGAGGAGAGGTAAGCATCGCGATCTGTGCCACTGTAACCGATTAACTACAACGCAACAACCACAACAACAAGAACAACAAATACAGCAGCAAAGCAAAGCAATTTCTCTCTAATACTGAATACTGTAATGAAATTACCCGATCAGAATCCAAATAATTCGATAACTGCCAATGCCAATTGCCATTGCTTCTTCTAACCACACAAAACGCACGCATGTCCACCACTAAACATGAAACCACCTGTTAAGAACCCAAAGCCACAACCAGCTACAAAGAACATACATCTCAGGCATGAATCAGCAATCCGCCATCGCCATCGCCACCTCGACCTCGACCTCGACCACCGCCACTGGCGGCATCCACACGGCGACCAGTACGGACAACGACAGCATCCAAGAGGCATTGCATCACCCGCATCAGCAGAGCGAGCATCACCAGCACCAGCACCTGCACATGCACCATCACCACCACCATCACCACGGTAGCCAGCATCACCAGCATCACCACCATCACGAGAACAACAGGCTACCCCACCACCACCATCACCAGCCCGCGCTTCCCCATCATCATCACCACCATCAGCATCCTCATTGGCACCATCGTAAGGCTATACTTCAGTCCAGCAGAGGTACAGCTTGAGTAGTTGGATCGATCGAGCCGAGCAATTGCCACAGGGGAACTGCTAGGAACTCTAGATATATTTCAAGGCCAAAAATATTTACCTTTGGGTTTCCGAAACAATCTCGTAATCTGTTAATCTAATCAGCGTTGCATTTGCAAACTCCAAGTGTTGTCTATAACAATCTCAACTTATTTTGGGTTCATTTATCTGAGCCTTCCACTTGAACGGAGTTATAAATGTTGTCAGCTAATCAGTTAAAGACATAAGGTAGCAGATTATTCTGTTTCTTATCTAACAAGCTATGTGTTCAGAAAGTGTCGTTTTGAGTCACCTTTTAACAAAAAAGTCTGACATGAACTGGGTAAAAAACCGACCTTAACCAACATGAAAAATTTAAACGTTGATCGATTACGAATTTTATTAGAAAAGTTTAAATGTAGTCGCATGAATTCGGATGCAGAAAAGAAATCAAGGCACATAAAAAAGGGAAACAACAAAATTCTACTAAAGCAGGGGTCTACTATCAGACTTTTTAGTAATTAATTTGATTAAGGGTTTACAACAGGCAAAAGATTTATGAGCTGGTTTAATAGAACAAGTGGCCGATCATCAAACAGTTTCACGAATTTTTACCTTATTTTGGAATGCTTCTCTTATTAATCTAATTAACTTTTCTACTTGTAATGATTACTTTGAATTGTTTTATCAAGCCTCGATAAGATTTCGTCAGGTTTTTTATTGTTTCTTATTTAACCAAACTCTTCCATAAGTGTTTGATATTTCGCACAGAAAGCATCAGCAAATTCAGTTTTCTAATTAAAAAAATACTTAAACATAAATATAATTTAATTTCGTTAAACAATGATCATAAAATGTTACGACAGAATGTTTTTTCCCGGGAAACGCTCCCATTTCGAAAAAGTTTTATCCACTGGTAATATTAATTTTTATTCGGCTTTGCAAGCTTCGAGAATGTGCATTTGATTCGACGACTCCTGAGCCTTTGTGACAATTGCTAGCTTATCATTAACATAACCACCTTGCTTTTTTATTGCAGTTTGATTTATTTACTAGCTATCCATATTTTGTTGTAATCTTAATGTTGTGATTCTGTTGCCAGCACTTCTGCATATTATTATTTCGGTTTTTCCGTTCGAATGGTTTGATTTCTAACCGTGCCATTTGCCATTCCTCTCGACGCTCGTCCCCGTCTCTCCGCAGGTACCGCCACCCAAATCCGCCCCCTGGAGGAGCCAGTCGGTCCGGTCCCAGCCGTCGACCCCCTGGAGGCCCAAATGCTGACCTCGGGCGGTGTCCCAGGGGCGGCAGTCGGCGCCGCCGCCGGGCATCCGCTGCTGCTCGAGGGCGGCACGCAGCAGCAGCTCCACCACCTCCCGCAGCAGTCGCACCACCACCTCCACCACCTGCAGCCGCACAAGCAGCTCCACCAGCAGCAGCAGTTGCACCTGGGCGGCGCCGACGGACAGCCACTGGCCAGCGGTCACGGGTCACAGGGTCACAGACTCAGACACAAGGGCTTGTGGTTGTTGGTTATTCTGTTGCTGTTCTTGATGCTGGCATTAAATGTGATATTATTACTTAAGCTCTGGAAGCTGGAGGAACGCATTGACGGGGATCTCAGTCGGCGGGCCCGCCTGCCCAGTTTGGCGGCCCTGAGGTGGGTCCAAATCGAGAAAGAGGCCATATCTGAATCGAAATAACGCTCTCCATTTCAGTGAGCTACCGAGCACGAACCAGGAATGGCTGGAACTGCTGCGCGACCAGGAAATGGCGCACGAGAACGAGCTGCAAAAGTGGCAGCAGGTGCTCCAAACTGCCATCGAGCTGCTGAAAAAGGTGAGCATTGTCTGCGAAAAGATCTACAACGATGGCAAGCTGCGTCAGAGCATTGAGGCGATGTCGATGGCGGTGCACACTGAATTCTAAGCATCTCATTAGACGGTGATTAACAGCAGCGAACAGAGACTTCAGCAACCTACAAGCGACAACTAATTGTAACTTTAACACTCACAACCACACACATGTATACTTGCAGTGCGTTTCATAATTGCAGAGCGGTTCACAGAAAGTAAGAATTAATTCAGGAAGTTTATCTAACTAACTTACTACGCGAACTTATAGAATTTTAAGTTGATATGTATGATTTGGTTGCATTTGATTCTTAGTTGTTTTCAACATTGCCAAACGGAATTTTATGAAAATATTTCTTTTTATTAAGTTGCGGAGATAGGTGTGATTATAAGGATAAAGGCTCTGAATGTTTTGAAACGCACTGCACTCGCGGGCATTTGTTACTGATCTCTTAGTTAGCAATACACAAACCCCAAATGTTGCATGTTCATCTGCCTCGGTGTAAAGAAGGTTTTCTCTGGCACCGACTGAAGAGATAAATGCTACAAGTTCTGGTATCCAAATCCAAGCTTTAACCACTGATTTCCAGCATCTATCTCGACCAGAGTTGACACTTTAGAGATAAGTTTGTATTCCGTAGAGCAAATTTAAAGTCAGTACATTTTATTGAATGCTTTCATGAAGTGCGAAAGAAAGTTGTTTTGAAATCATGTTGGTCAAATATTTGGAGAGAGAGGAGTAGTAAAACAAATTCCCAAGGCACCACACAAACTCACTGCAATAGTTGTTATTTTTGTAAGTAACTTTTATTTGGAATTTATTTATGTTAAAAGTACCCATTCACTCTCAACTAACCCCTTTTATGTTTGACTAATCTGTATCTTAGTTGCTTCCCTGTTTATGGCTTTTTATGTTAGCACAAGCTTGATTTTAGTTCGTTTTACTCAAATACTTTCTGTTTTTCAGACTGAAAAAACTTTGGCTGAAATCATTGTACGCTAGCAGTAAACTAAATTAAGCGAATGTTGTGCAAGTAAAGTTAATCCAATCCAATTGTCTTCGACAAGCTGGCAGAACACCCAAAGCAATGTCTTGGGCAAGAGCAAAGCCACCAAAAATCTGAAATTGAATTTAAAATTCAACTAAAATTTAGTCACAAACCAACACACTTATAAGAGAAACAAACCGATTTGTCATTTATAAATATTTATGATTATGTTTTAGTCGTAGGAAGAGCGCAGTGTAATTTAAGTCGTAAGTAGCTGCATTTTAGTTAGATTAGAGCAATTGTTTTCGTTTTTACTACGGCATTTATGTGCAGCACCTGTTTGCTTGGCTTTGCTTTAGACAAATGTATCTACAAATTCCTCAAGTATTTCATATCTCACAACATACCAAAAACCGATTAAAATCAAGAGAGAGCGCCCTGAATTTTTGTTTTAGAAAATTCATTTAAATGTCGAGCAAGCGCAAAACTGGCAGGCTAGAGAAGGTATAATAATTAATATAAAACTTTAACACAATTGCCAGTCTTTGGCTAGAGGAAATTTGATAAAAGCGATTATACAAATACTTATTGTGTACAATATTTTTGTAAAACAAATCGAAACAATTGCGAGCAATGTTTTCGTTCTTTTGTACAACTCCTCCTAACTCTTTACCTTTACCCCTTTTTGGCGCCCGTTTACAGACGATACCGATACCAATACCAATACAAGAATCAGAAATCAGAAAACTATTCTATCCAAAAGGCGAGGCAAGATTAAACCAATAATTGCATACTCTATATACACTATATATATGTACCATATATATGGCCAAGTATTTTTAGTCTGTAGTAGTTGCATTTTAAATACCAGAGCAGAATAAACAAAAGCTAAAAACCACAACTTGTTCGATTTAAATGTGAAGAGTTGAAACTGAAATTATAGCAGAATATTTAAGCAAGTACGTTTAGGTGTAAGGTACGAAAATTGATATGCTGGCTAAGCCCACATTAAAAACTAATTCTTGTCAAATTAATTTGGGCCGTCGCAAAATTGGCTTAAAATTTGTGTCACAAGTTAGGCTTACGAAACAAAACATACAAGGATAAGAAACCGAATGTTAAGCTGCAGTAATGAAAATTCTAATTTATTATAAAACCAAATAAATACAAATAAAAAATAAATAAATGTGTACTTTAATTTATCACTACCAAGGTGGAAGGACATATCACTTGGTATACCACTCCTAAAAATATAATATTAAATATTTTTATTCACGTACGAGTATACAAACAAGGTAAAACTACACTGAAGAACATTCTTAATTTTGATCGCCGTCATGTGGAGTTTAGTGATGTCCATCACATGAGAGATCGCTGCGATTAAATAGCTTACTAAGGGAAAATTTTAATATTGGCAATGGAACAACAACGGCGTTCCAATTGCATTTGGGCCATCATGTTTGCTTTTAGAGGCGCCAGCGATTGGTAATAATTCCCGAAGACTTCTTGGAAGCCTCGGACAGCTTTTGGAATCGCATTGGCGAACGGGAGTTCTCGGGCAAAGCCTTCGGTTCCTTCTTAGCTGGCGCCTTGCTCGGCGTTGCTGCATCCTTTTCGCCAGGATCTGCTTTTTTCGGAGAAAGCGGTTGGCGCTTCAGCTGAGCGGTGCTCGACTTGCTGAGCTTGTGCTTGTCCTTTAGGGATCCTCGAGCCGTAAACCTCTTGCGACGACCGCTGAGCTCCGTCCTGGGAATCCCGGCAGCGGCTTTTGGTGTCACGGGTTTGATCATGGTGCGACCCTTGGATATCTTCTCGACCAGCCTGTTGATCACCGCCTTCTCCGTCGGCGGTAGGATCTTCAGGAAAGTCTGCTTCTTGGTCAGGTGAGCGGCAGTCACCGCGTTGGCCGAATCTGGAAACTGGACTTCCGAGGTGTCCAGCGAGGTCCACTTCATATGGGATGTCTTTGAGGTGGCCAAAGGCTTCTTAACCTCAGCCACGATGCGGTCTTCCTTCATCCGGCGCGGAATTGCCTTCTCGGCCTTAGTTTCCTTTTGTTCCGATTCGCGACGCCGCTTCAGATAACGCTCCATCATCATGTCGTAGATGGAGGCTATCGGTGTGTCCAGTATAGAGTTCATCATGTTTGGAACTAGGGTAAAAGATTGGAAAATGTATAATTATTTAAAATATTTTGTGATACTTGTGAAATGAAAATGTGTGTGCTGCAACGGGAAGCGTTTGAAATACTACTAACGTTGTGTTCGGTTAGGAAATATATTGCTATGAGCATGGGATCGCCCTTGTTGCTTTGAAATCAGTAAAAAGCATACTTTCAGGCATTGTGGATAAACAACAGAATAGAACGATTGAAATGGTTAAATTGAAGTAAAGTTTGTGTAAAGTAATTAAGATTTTACAGCTTCTAAGGAATTGTTAATGCCTTTAATAATTGCAAGACGCAGTCCATCCAAAGAAAGATTGTAACTCAAGGCGCCGACCCAATTTCGATTGCCCTGTTTGTTTCCCAATTCGAAGTGCAAAATTCACATGACGCTGAGTGAGTAAGATCATCGACTTTTTTTGTGTCGCTTCTTTTGTTGCATTACAGCTCTCCCCCGGGGCTATATCAACAAATGCCAACCTGACTGACTGATAAGAGTTCAAGTTCGTTAAACCTCATAAAAATCAGGAACCATTTGTGAAATTCAGAATGCCTTTCAACAACTCTTCGATGCAGAAAAATAAGTATCCATATAAACACAGTGGAAAGTTTTCGAAATGTTTTTACTATATGATGTTATTTCAAAAACAAAGCACGGGCCTAAAAAACACTATGGTTCTAATTCATAATGCCTGTTTTTTAAGGTTTGGATCAATTCTTTATTGTGAAACTAAATTAATCAAAATTTAGCAAAAAACAAGAATGAACGAAAATTGGAATAGCACATATTATTCACATTCTTGACAATTTGCCTAATAAACTTTTTCTAGAAATTCAATATTTGTTGTAGGCCCACACACACACAAAAAGCAGACAGCACGCAGCTACGCACTCCAAAAAAAGGGCAAAATAAGGAAAAAGAAAGAAAATAAGAATCTTATCAGCAGTGGAACAAAAACAAAGTACAGTAAAAACCGAAGCAAAAACAAAAAGAAAGCTGTCAGAAAGCAAGAACAACAAGTCGGCTGTGTTATTTTTCAAGGTTAAGAGCAAGTGCGTGTGCGTGAGTTTGTGCCAGTGTATGTGTGTCTCGCACATTTTGCACATTGTGCGTATAAATAAAAAAAAATAACAACAATAAAACCACCAACACAGCAACAGGAAAAAATAATTTTTTATAGAGAGCCGAGAGCTACGCACCGAAAATGAAAAAAAAGAGCACAGCCTGCAACAACAAAACCGGCAACTTGTCGACTTTTTTCGCTTTAAGTTTATGGCAACACAATAAACTTAATAATTTCGCTACAAACTGAACAATCATCATTATTTAGGCCTAATATGCAATTGTGCGTTATTTTCCATCTGATTTGGTCAGCGACCCGGCAGGTGACACATTTTAAAATTTTTATTATTTTATTAGCGTTTCAAGCTTCAAGTGCTCTCCTCTCGCTCACTCTTCCTCTTCTTTGCCCACCCACACATCTAAGTCCGCGGACTGCACGCACACACAGTACGTATACGCATTCAAATTGCGTATACGCAGCGCTAACCCTCGGAGAGTTTAATGACTGATAAGATTGGAAAGCTGGCATTTGCCTAACTGAATTAAAAAGAAATTATAAAGTGTGTGGGCAAAGGCGAATTTTCTAGAGGCCAATTTCCCTTTCTTGAAGCTTAAAATCTTTGAATTCTTAGTTTTGCCCAATCAGAACATAGATTTTTTACACATGTTCATTCTCATCAAAAACGGAAGAAGAAACTCACTTTACCCATTCCCAAATGAGTCAAATGCTTCAGTTTCACGAGACACATTCAATCGCCGAACCGCCGTTTGCTACTCTAAAAACGTCTCGAAACTTGTTGAATGACTTCTGGGTTGCCAATCAAGACCTTAAATTTCTATCGCCAAGTCGATATTCGAGATCAGCCGAACCAACACACGAACTTTTATTCATTTTTATTATGATGTAGCAACGAGTATTATCAGTCTGCTGAAGGAACTGTAAGCCGATAACATGACACTAACACGGTTCGTGAAGAAAAGCAGGTGAAATGATCTTGCTGTAAGCCGTTAACATTTGTAATACAATGTTAACAAAGTCGACTTAACATAAGTGTAAGGAGAAGAGAGCGAGAGAAAGAGGCTGCAAAGAGAGTGCACTTAAAAAAAAGATATAAGTCTTAACCCTAAAAAAAAATTATATCAAAAATGATTGTAGGGATCTAAAAATGTTCCGCTAATCCTTCTTTTTGCACAATACACCACCAAAATAGATTTAATAAATTGAAATTATTGAAAACCTATTTTTCTTTGTGCAAGCGCCATACGCACGTGCGGATCTTACGCGGTGGGAGAGAGATATTGAGCGCAGGAAGGCGAGCGAGTGAGAGAGGGAGAACAGAATGAATGTCATTCATGGGAGCAGCGACGCCGGCAGAGGCAGTGGCAGTGGGGTTTGGAGCAAGAGCGCTAGCGTTTAACTTTAACGGTCCCGCGATCAGTTCGAAATCGAAATCGGGCGCCGTTGGATGTTTTCTTCAATGCTCAAGCGCGCCGAACTCGCGTCGTGTGGAAAAGCGGAATAGAGTATAGCTCTCTGGGTTTCGCCGTGTTCTTCCAGCGTTTTACGTTCTACGTTCCCCAACTCGTTCGATCTGTCCGTCTTCTCGGTTCGGCTTTGCAATCCCCCAACCCCTCCTCCCAAAAATAATTCGCGTGTTATCAAAAATGTTTACAAGAAACCTACATATGTTTAATGAATAAAACAAAAAAGTTATTTAAGTTGCAAAAAAAGTGCTGACGATTTTAAATACCCCATCCGAAAACAAAAAGAAGAATTTTATTACGTTCCATCGCTTTTTGGGTGCGTTGTTTTTGTTACTTTATATTTTATTCAAGCACACATGAAATTGCACAAAATGAAAACTGACGTTTTGCTCTGGCGCTTTGTTTCGCGCGGGCTAATTGACAAATATAACAAAATTGGCAAAACGTCTCCACCTCTCCCGGTTTCTCACCGATTCTGTTTCATTTTCTGTTTCTGTTTCGGCGGCAGTGCATATAGGAAATTGTTGGAGAATTTTTCAAGCAGAAAGCCAAGGCGAACAAACATTTTTGAGGGACGCCGGGACGTCTGGCCAAATATATTTGAATTGCATTCGGAGTAATTTGAATTTAGAGTGTGTTTATCAACTGAAGTTAAAGTGAATTTGGTGCCAAGAACATTAAAGTTAGTTACTGTAAAGTATTTATACAAGCCCAATAAGGTTTGCAAAAATTATTCAAAGTGAAACTAACTAAAAGCTGTTCCGAAAAAGTTAGTTTGGTTTAAACTCTATTGAAATAATAATGAAAATAAAAAGTTTTAGAGGTTATTGAGTATAATGTACTTTGTTAAGTTTCAGCTGAAAAGCAATACAAATTGAGTAACACCAGTAAATTTATCTGAAGATTTTATAGGGCGAACATGATTTAAATGAACAGCTTTTTAGCAGGCTGCATTCAGTGAAGTTTTGTGCAATTTTTTGAGTTTTCTTTTATTTAATATCACAACTTATACAACTCGTTATTTATGAAAAACTGGCCGTCATATTAATTATACCTCTACTCTTCTCTGTTTTCATTATATTACAGTCTGCCATAAATTCAAGAAAATAACAGAAAAAGGAGCCAGACAAAGCCAGGGAATTATGAAATTTTAAAGAAATCCCCAAAACCCAAGACCCAACCGCCACGAAATATGTTTAATGCATTAAAATAAAGGAAACGTGTTTAAGGCGAGTGCAAGCGAAAAGGCGAAACGAAAAGATATATACACACGCGTGCATATATATTTAAACAAGATTTACATTTAAAATCCTCCAATACACACGTACGTATATTTAAACTGTGGCGGCAACAGCAATAACAGCGAGCTAAAGCGTTCACAAAAAGGTGATAATGATTATTTCCAAGGATCTTTTCATATTTGGCGAACAAATTTTTGCAACAATCATACCAGAAGGTGGAGCCGCAGCGCTAGCAACCCAGCAGCAGCAACAACAACAGCAGCAACAACAACAGCAGCAGCAACATCAGCAGCAGCAACAACAGCCGGCAATTATAAATTCAACAGCAACAGCAACAGCAAAAGCAACAACGACGACGGCAGCTCCGTTGGTAATAAACTCGACGGGATCGTCAACAGCAGCAGCAGCGGCAGCCGCAGCAGCAGGAGCAGCTGAACAAGTTGTAGAGGAGTCATTAAAAGTAGCAGCAACAACAGCAACAACAGCAGCAACAGCAGCAACAACAGCAGCAGCAGCAGTTTTAGCAGCAACACTACCAGCTAAACAGGAAACAGTTGCAGTTGCTGCCGCCTGTGTTGCTCCTCGCAAGTTGGCAAAAATTCAAAAAATTCCAAAGGAACCCGAGGAACTGAGAGCCAAGAAAAAGGCAAAGTGTGAAGTGGCAGCAGCAGCAGCAGCGGCGGCGGCGACTCATTACGAAAAAATGCCAATGAATTTGATGATCGTGGAAAGTGTTGAGACAGTCGATATGGGATCATCGGACAATGACAACGAGGCAACGGAGCAGGTACCGTTGGTGAGTGCCAGCCGACGCAACCTGGCCAAAATAGTGGCCGATTGTCGCCTCCAAATCGAAGTGGAGCCGGCAACATCGGCGGCCACCGCTGCGCCGCCAGCAACATCGGATGCGGCAGCAGCAGCAGCAGCAGCAGCAGCAACATCGGTGGCAGCCAGCGATTCTTCGGCATCATCGTCGTCGTCATCTTCCAGCTCGACATCCTCAGAATTTACGCACACATCACAGACAACGATACCAAGTACGGATAATCTAACGTCATCCAATGGCCTGGCCAATATGGGCAAAAGCATTTTAGTCGATGCCAAAAGGTGAGTGTTCAATCACCGGTGACCCAATTTCAGAGCCAGAGCAGAACTCGTACCTACATAAATCGAACTGCGACTTTTTTTGCATGCAGGCAGACCTCCTCTCTCCTCTTAATAAGGAGGGGAAAGTGGAGGCGATCCAAGGGTAGATCGGGCTTTTCTAACTCTGGGTTCTCATGGCAACATTGTTGGTCGGTCTTGCAACCGGTTGCATTCGGTTGACAGTGAGTTGGGGCCCGATTTATACAGTTTGAGCGGGAACAAATTACTCCTACTCCTCGAGGCTCAATAAAGAATTCAGTTTCAATCGCGCAGTAGTTTGGCAGTAGCTTCTTTCATTAGTCGGTGCTGAATTGATGCACTGAATTGGAATTCAAATTAAATTGCAATTGGCTGACTGCAAGTGGATAAGAAAATTTGAATAAAAACAATAAAGATAAACATTTGAACAATACATTTTTCGTAACAGCTTTTAAAATATTTTTATCAATGACCCAGCGTTCTAAAAACTAGTTTTAAAACTCAAACTTCCTGAGATTATCGCCTTGTTAGGGGATACTCCCTTCGTTGACTCCGACAGGAAGCAATATCTGGTTGGTCAAATCTTCCTCCAGTTGGCATCCTGCCAACCCCGTCTTCGGGCCAACAAGCTAAAACAGGTCAAAACTGCAGTTTCGCCATAAAATTGGGTTACATCTTGCACGGAGACACAAGGAAATAAGGCAACCAAAAAAAAGTCGAATAGCAGAAAAACGCATGCACTTTCGCACTGAAAAAAATATAAAGAGAACCGAGTTCTCCGCAAGGAGCAGGTTTTGAATGTGAGCTGCTCGTTACTTCAGTTTTGTGGCCCAATCCCCAACTTTGTTGCACTTAAAGGGGATTATACACAAGCTCACGGCTTCGTTGTCTTGGTGCATCCTGCATTTTTTGCATCGGGCTACGAGTTTTTAAGCCACGCCAGCAGCTGTTGACTTAGTATTTCTGCTCTGCTAATTTTGTAGAAAATGTTGAAAGCTTTACATCCTTAGTTTAATTTCGACATAAGCGATATTTCCGGGTCAACAATTTAACTGTTTTAACTGTTGAACCTTACATTTTGGAGAATATCACAATTTAAGTTGCAACTACAAGAACAATTGGTTTGCCTCTTGTTTTTGGGGGTGAACTACAATTAACTTCAAGTCGGTTGCACAATTATTTCGGCATGCCCTTTGGAGGGGCCCAAATTAAAGTTTGGCTATAAAGCAAATACGCTGTGAAAATCAACATAATCATTGCTATTTGCCGAGCTGCAATCTGTTGCAATTCGCGAAAAAGCCAAGCGGGTGGCTCTGACTTAAGTCAGCTGGCCAGCAGATTCAATTATTTATCTTAATTCGTTTGTCACTCCGACTGACTGACTGCGCGGCAGACTTTGGGTTAATGCCGAGATCGAGTTCGCACAAGTCTCAATTATGTGTTGGCAAATTAAGTAAATTAAATTACAATGAGAACATTGTTGGGTCGGTCGATGGCTGTCGAGTGCAGGCTTCATTATGTGCATTTAACATAAATTTTTCAATTATTATGCGATTCAAAGTGCACTCGGCGTGGCAGCGTTCTTTTTTCCGGCCCTCACTCACTGTTCGAGAATGCAATACCAAGATCTGTCTTTATTTTTCCCTATTTGCCGTTCGCTTCTCTTGGCCGAAGAGCAATTTAAATGCATTTTATTTTCTGCATCTTTTTCGCTGTTTGCCTTTATCTGGTGGCACGTTTTATTTTCGCCGTGGCTCTTGTGATTATTACTGTGTGTTTGCTGCTGCAGTCGTTGCTGCTGCTGCTGATGTTGCTGTTGCTGTTGTTGTTGTTGTTGTTGATGTTGCTGTTGTCGCAATTTTGCCTGAAATTGGTTCACAGTTGACCCAGTTTTGGTTGCAGCAGCAGCGGCAACAAAACGGCAGAGGAATCGATGCTCGATTTGGCAGCAACAAAAGTAAAAATAAAAAAGTACGGAAAATAAGAGCATCTACGGTAGCAGCAACTTGTTGATCGCGGAATGCCTTTTAACTGGTAATGAGTGAATCATTCAGAACAATTTTGAGCATTTTAATTTTTACATAAGTAAAATTGTATCATAAATCAAATCTACAATTGTTCTTTGATTTATATAACCGAAGCATACAGAGACTGTAGTATTTTAATAACTGAAGTATTGTGGTAACTGAAGGAATAACTCGGTTTTGTTTAGAATAATTCGTTTTATTGATCAGAGCGCTAAACATGAAATGGAAAACTCATCTCACTTGAATTCCTAAAATCGAAACAATTGGTTCGGTTCACATTTCAAGCGTTTATGTTCCACTTCAGTTTGTTGAACTTTGCTGAACACAAACAATTGATTTCGCTCCAAAATGTGTTTTCCAGCTATTTATTTTGCCTATGCGGCTTGTGGCGAGTTTTACTGGAAATGCTTTTGAAAGTGGAGTAGGGGAGGGTGGTCCCATACCGACCCCCTAAAAGGCAAAGGCGATAAAGGTGAGAAAAATCAATTTTTCAGTTCAGTTCAAAAAAGTACTATGTAGAGGGATCAGTTTACTATACATCTAAATGATTAGTAAGTGCGTAGGTGCTTTGAAGCGTTAGATATTCAGGCAAATATAAAACTCTACTTTTTGGTCGTACTCAAAAGTAGTGGTCCGAAACCGACCCCCTATTTCTTAACAGAAAAATTTAATAACATAAAATAGAATTTAATGATTTTGACGTTTATTAAGAAATATATTGAAGGTTCTTTCCAGAAAATAAAAATTAATGTATGAAATAAAGGGCAATGTAGTCAATTGATGAAGTCTGAGTTGTCCTCTTTCTCATAGTAAGTTTTCGCGTTGTTTTCGCGTAGTTTTTCGAAAGCCGCTCGTTGATGACTGTCTCTTCGCTTTCTTCTGATGTTTTTGCTGTTTCTGTTACTTTTCTTTACTGAATCTTGTTTACTTTTTCATATTTTCCATCAAAAATACGCTATGACATATTAAGGGGGTCTTCCTATGTGATGGGTTGAAAAAATCGATTTTTTTTTTTTTTCATAAATTGCTCCCTTAACATGTCTAGAATACGGTAGTAAAGCGATTTTAGAAAATTCGAAGTCGTTTTAAAGATACAGCAGGTAAAAGAAAGAGCGGTTCGAAGCGCTGAGTTGGCGGTTAGAAACTTTAAACGCGTTTTTCTCAAAACTGTGTTTTTCAAACTTTCCTCCATTGTATCTCAGAAACGGCTGGACCGAATTACTTGAAATTTACAGGGCACACTCAATATATGTAAACGCATGGAATGAACTATTATCAATCGAAAATTTTCAAAACTTCGATTTTTTTATAGCAAAAAAAAAAAAAAAAAAAACGCCAAATTTGCAACTTTTTTTTCAAATGTCTATCAAAAATCCAATTTTTTTTATATTCATTTGATTGTAGTTCATTCCGTGCATTTAAGTCTACAGATTAAAACGCCGTTTACTTTTTTTTTTTCGGATAAGCCGATCAGCCGGAATCGTGGAGGAAGTGGGAGCTCTTTTTTTCGAGGCGGGGGTGTTCAGAGCGCTGTAACTCTAGTTTGACCAAATATTTTTTGCTGAAATTTTTTATTTATACTGTCCAAATATGTGTTAATAAATGATAAAAAACTTGAAGCTCTAAATATTTACTGGTCGTAGAAAAAAAATCCTAAAATAACCCTAAAAAACAGGCCGTCACATAGGAAGACCCCCTTAAGCTGCCAATAAATGGGGGTCGGTTTCGGACCATCGCCTAGCGGTCGGTTTCGGACCACCACGACCTTTTCTGATTAACTGCTCGGCATTAACTAAAGACGCAAAGAGCGATGTAATTCTAATTATGTGAGTGAAAGCTAGGACTATCAACGATCAGAAAAATTTACTCTCCGATTTTTATGCGGAGAAAAAAAAATTTAAGCTCAAGTTCAGTAAAGCTCAAAAATAAATGTCACAGGCCTTGAAACAAAACAAACGGAAAAATTGCAGTGAAACAAAATAAGTCAAAGTGGCTATCTATCTCCAAAATGTCTGTGTTATAACAGCTTTTCACTGAAGTTACCGACAATTCGGCTAGCATCGCCATCTCTGAGAAACATGGGGGGGGTCGGTATGGTACGACCGGTCGGTATGGGACCACCCTCCCCTAGAGCAAACCATAAAGAGTACCAAAAACATAATACAAACAAATCCAAGCTAAGGAGGCTGTACATACATATATGTAGTTTAATGCTCTTCCTTCAAAACAATAAATTCGAATTCCGAATCAAAGAGCGATAGATCTTTTTCTCTTGAGTCGGCTCAGAACCCCTCAGGATCAAATTTATTGCAGAGTTGATAAACTTTTGGCAATCCAAGCAACAGTTTCATTAGTTGGGTAAACCGGTTATTAAACCCGTATGTAGGTCAAGTTTTAATATGATAACGCACACATAAATTCGGAGAGAAATCTCGAGGCGCGTCAAATGCAGGCAAACTCCAAATGGCGCAGTAGCTAAATTTGGGTTCGGGTTGATTTCTTTTGGAGGAGCGTCAGATGCGAATCTCTAGGTAGCTAAAAGGATTGAGGGCTAGATGAGAATAGGCGAGAATAGTTTTTTGGGGCAGGTAAAAAGGGTGCAGCTGGCTTCACAAAAGCTTTTCCCCGAAAAATGAGGCTTCCTTTGCTCCCTGGTCCTTTTGCTATTTTGAATCTTTTGTTCGAAACGTATTTGCATAATAAAGAATTTTGTTATGTTTTTTGTTCGGATAAAATATTTGAGAGTCGTTAAAAATTCTAGGTATAACTATAGCATTTCAAGGTTTCAAGGAAGGAACAGCAGAAAATCAGTTTCGCATAGTGTGGCGTATGTAATGTTACTTAAAAGTAAATTTAAGCTGATATTTAAATATTCAGTTATTGCCACTTCATCTCAAAGTTCCCTAATGCTACCATAGATCATTTCCAAGCGTGGGCGCCCAGATGCATCTGATT